AATAAGAGTTTGTGTAACTTTAAATGTTGCACTTGCCCTCAAAGTCAATGGAATTCATTTTGTGTGCGGGGTGTTTATTTTAGATGAGATACGGAAGTATTGATAAAATCGATAACGGGTAATGGGTGCGCTGTTGAAATGGTTCAGTGGACCTGTGGACCCCTCTTTAGTTCGTTTACCAGCTGCATTTTATTTCGGATCATGGGTAAGAGCTTTGCTGTATATACTTGTACTGACAGATATTTTAGCTGGTACCGTACATACATATTCGTATCGTATTTTTGGCCACATTGACGGTCCTTTACATTTAGGCCCGCAAACTGAAAACGTACTCCATCGTTAACTGATGCTACTGCAAATAACACTGTTTGTCTGTTTAAATCCATGCTACCACATGATTACTGTGTTCGTGCTTAAAAATTAACTGTGCATGTAGCGACGTGAATTTAATTTCCTCTTAGTCTTAGAATCTAACGTGCGTAATCCGCGTCCGGTTCGTTCAGTGGACCCCTCTTTAGATTGTTTACCAGCTGCATTTTATTTCGGATCATGGGTTAGAGCTTTGCTGTACACTATTCAAATTTCTATTTAAAATCCTGCATGCAGTAAGCAGTTACTCAGAGCCAGCTAGAGAACGTGTTGTAACGTCACGTAATAGTTGAGTGTAGAGTGATTATTCATCGTCCGGTTAGTTAAGAATAAGCGGAATAAAAAGCGAATTAAATTTCAGGAGTTACACTTAACATCCTAGAGGTGATGTGGAGCAAGACTCAGTTCACGCCGGAAGAAGTAGCTGCCAGCAGAAAAGTAAGCATCGCCCGCATTCACGTGGAACGCTCCATTGGCTATCTGAAGCGGTACAAGATTTTGGGAAACAAAGTTGTGGCGAAGATATTGCCTTATCTGAGCGACATCGCATTCGTGTGTGCCCATTCGTGTGTGCCCAACTTGTCAACCCTGTTTTTTTAAGGGAGGTGGACAGTGATTTTTTTTAAATGACCAGGTCTACCTAAACTTGTTGAGCTTGCTGAATAGGAGGAGCGACCGACCGACACACTATCAAGATCGGTTGTTTATCTTCAACCCCCCCCCCCCCCCCCAACAGTTTGTATTGTACGTGGGCAATGGGTACGGTTATATAAGTACAACAATCACACTATTTCAAGTTCATGACGTTATCATGGCGTGTTTACCGCAGTGCAGATATTGCACGCGGACCTTACCGAGCCGAGATGTGATAGAGATAACAATTTGAACAGAGGGTCAAATAAAGATAAGGAAAGTAAACACACGATATCGATCTGCTCACTCTTCCTGTTTGTGATTGGACGGATTGGTGTCACGTGACATACCACCTCTATTACAAGTGGTCGCTCGTTGAGGATCACGGAGCACATCAGGGCTGCCCGTCGTCAGAATAAACTTAATTCAGTTTTTAGTATGATTGTTATATTGTGGTGTTGGTAACCTACCTTCATTGTGTTTCTTTTGACTTTGTTATCATGCTGTGCTCTAGAAATTTTGATAGTACCTGTTCGATTTGTTAAGGAGACGATATCCTTGTTCATATATGTTGCAGGATCAGAATGTTCGTGAGGAACAGTCACCAAAAGTGAGTTGCTAACCTGCTGTGTGTTTTCGTACTCTGGTCTTCACTCAAGTTGCAAAGCTGCAATAAACGTATCGCAAAGAACATTTATATCTGAGAAGTGTGTTAGTACTAGTTTGATGAGGAGGATTGCCTCGATCTGTCGGGTTCAGCTTTACTGCCTAGGTCATGGTTGGTTGGGGACCGGCCCGAAGTACCAGCCAATGTTTACTCAAAAAATAATATATATAATAAGTGTTATCAATTCAAACTCAAAACTCACTAAAGATTAGATCTCATTAAAACGATTAATATGTATATCATGGAGCTTGTCGAACAAAGCATAGCTGAGCACATATAAAGTTGCCTTTAGTTAAAATTATCATATTAATGCCCTTTTATAGTTGTAGAGTGGAAACAGGCGCATAGCTACGGCTAGCTAGCTATTCCAAAATTTTTTAAATTTAACAACTGTTATCAGTCGCATAGCGTCATGCCTTTTTTGCTGGCGAATTGATGGCAGTGTAACTGAGATGGTATGCAGTGAAATTGATTCTGTGATGGCGTGCTTATGAGACAGAGATATTATTAGCATTGCGGTTGATGTTGCGCTCTGATTTCCTTAGTCCCGCTATATTGTATAACATAAAGTTGGGCCATTCGTCTGCAATGCCCTCGTTTTGTTGATCAATGAGCATGTTTTTTATGCACCTTTTGTAGATGTTAAGGTTGAATAGACTTGGTAAGGAAGTTGCTGCGACACTATATCTGTTTATTGCTAGTAGTGGACCTTTGTAGAATACTGAATTATTGTAAGGGTATTTACCATATTCATCTGACCATGTAGTTGTAAGACTTGAATCCGGATTGGCGACGTTAAATATTGGTGCACTGTTAGGTATTGTTTTCTTTATAGAGGGAGGCACTAAACTTGGGAAGTTTTTCAGCTTATGTATAAAAACTAATGCGTTCTTTACGATGATACTATGAACTGTCAATATTTTGTGTACATAGAAACCAGACTTGGTACTTGCTGGAGGTGTACCATCTTTGTACCAGTAATTAACAAAACCTGGTAGTATTGCTCTAAGACCCATTTTTTGTTTTACAAATAGTGTTTCTATATGGGATTCATGAGTAGAACCGAAGGATCAAAACATATGTTGCTTGTTGCTCGTATTAGCTATAAAACATCGATTTTTAGGGATAAGGAAGTGTTTATAGGTTCTGAAACCTAGCTAAATCGATTTTTCGTGCAATTTTAGGTCAGAAACAGTCATCAAAATGAGTTAATAAGAAGGTCGATTTCTCGGTTATTTTTGAGCTTTCGTTCAGAAAATAATTCGGGGCCTTCAAAGGGGGGTAACAAGAAAGCGTTACAAGTGTTACAAGCCTTCTATAATACAAAATGTGTATCACCTCTTCAATCCGCCGAACATGTGCTTACCCTAAAAATGTAAACAAATGTGTTTCACCTCCTCAACCCGCCGAACAAGTGCTCACTATTAAAGTAAACAAATGTGTTTCACCTCCCCACCAGTATCCACATCTATAGCGCCGCGTTTTTTGCACATATGACATTTTTTGTAATATTAATTACAGCAAAGCAAATTTAAAATTACGCTAAGCAGTAAGCCGCGTTTTTGTTTGACGGATGTTACTCGTCTAAATTTTTCAAAGTAGCGCGAGCCGCTTTCTTCTCGAAATGGCAATTAGTGTTACGAAATAGCGCGCGCCGGACCAGACCATTAACAATGGTTAACGTTTCGCTGTGCTTGGTTGATATGAATAATGTTGTAAACATCTTGCTACCTAATTTGTTTAATTATTGCTTCATGCTAGATTTTCTCGTACAAAATTGAAAAGCGCCGCGCAATTAGAAAATGACGTTTTGAAGTTTTAAAAACTGCAAATTATTATTATGATTATGACTGAACATGACAGGAAGCTTGTACACAAAAATAAAAAATACATTATTATATGCGGTTAAATTGTAAATGGTGATGACTGATGATGTGTTGATTTAGTTTTGAGACAGAAAGCTACAACCGAAGCTAACTTTTGGACATGGAGTCTGGACGTCAAAGTTTAGTTTAGTATTCTTTTCACCACTTTCAAGTCGAGCACTCTCGACCCATGCAGTTTACATGACTTGCGAAACTTGCAGCACGGTAATTGTAATGATCTAAGTTGTTTCATTAAGATGAAATCATTCGAGTGCTGCAGTCGTCAGAGAATAATTGACTAACAAACATATCTCAACTAATAGAAAGCTTAATTACATCTGGGCTCACAAGCATGAAGCAATTGTGACGGCTACATTTTGTTCCATTTGAAATCCAAGTATTTATTTTAACTGTTTCAAAGGTTTAAAATTGTTCTTAAATTTGTTCTTAAATTATTTAAATACAGTTTTTTCTTTTATAGTTTTGTTTCATTTTCAAATGTTGGTTGTTTTTATTTAATATCTATATCTGTATCTCCCTAGTAGGATGTGCTACTAACATGACAGCGCAGCCTCATGATCTGATTTGCTGCATCCTTTGCAGTGTCAGATATAGTTCTTTATATTATGTAGCTGACTCCAACATCTGCAGATAAAGTGCTGTATACAATTTGACTTTATTTATTTATTTATCTTATTTGAGATACAGGGTGGCCTATAAGTCAGTGTTTAAACGTTTGGGCTTATGATATTTAGCCATTTTTCATGCTTAAGACTTGTAACTTTGCAAATGGCTTACTGTTACTACTCATTCAAGGATTGATTCGCCAAAGTTATAAAATTCTATTGTTGGAGGCAGCATGAGCACCCTATCAACATTAATTTGCTCTGAATACCAGTCCTGGGGCATATCCTAGAAACTCCAATTTTACATATTGCAATGGAACATGATCTGAAAAAATAGGTGAAAATAAGCTTAAATGGCAAAATTATCAAGGATTTTATTGGGTGATCATTTGATTGTGTGAGTGTGTGGAAGTGTGGACCTTGCGTCAACCCAATCACCTGATCTGGGATCCCATGTAATGAATAAACTCGTCATGCTTGATATCTCGGTCATCTAGTAATTTTAATGGTGGACCATCATGTATTACAAAATGGCTTGATCTAATAATTAAACAACATTTTTAAACAAAAAACAAATATTTCAAAATATTTTGGAATGCGGAAATTGAACTTCATTCAAAATAAATGAACTTGTCTATTATTTTCTATTTGACGGATTTATCAAACCAGTGATGATATCAAGTCATAACAGAAATAATTATCTCAATTTGACACTCCATGACTGAGAAATATATGCCCAAACGTTTGCACACTGACTTGTGGGCCACCCTGTACAATTATACAAGTCTCTTAGTAGATAAAAGTTACATCAAGCCTAACTACAAACCTCTATACATAGATTTATCTACCATGCCTCGAAGAAGTGGATTTGGTTCTCGACGATCTGCGTCACCTGTTTCCAGATCACCTCCTCGAGCAGCACCTGTGAGTTCGTTGATTGTGTCCGATAATGCATATTATGCGAAAAGTTTAGGATATTATCCATCTTTATCTAAATAGAGACAATTTATTAGTTTGCCACTTTCTACACAAGCCCCCGTCTAAAACTCAATCATGTTTTGTTGGCTTTGCTTGCTTGCTAGCTGTTCTTTTTTGATATTATGTTTACATGAATACAGAATACCTGTCTGATCATTCAACATAAACATGATTGGCTAATTAGCTTAAATTACAAAATGTCTTTTCATAATATTCTTTACATCAGGCCCCTGTGCGAGCAGCTCCCCCTCCGCAACGAGCTGCTCCTGCTCCTGCTCCAGCACCTTCTGCCGTTGCAGCCCCTGCTGCAGCCCCTGCAGCAGGTGGAGGTGGAGGCGGGTAAGTGAACTTAATTTATTAGTTCTCCTCCGTGTACAGTAACCACTGTACAATTCAAATGCATAGTAAGGCAGGGAAATTACATTCTACAATAAATAGTAATTATGTTTATACAGCAGCTTTTAGGATTGCTTCCTTTATTTTATGAGATTTCATTGATCCTTGAATGAAAAAATAATGCTCTGTTCTGGCATCTGAAGACTGAGCAATTGTTGAATACGTAACACCTAATCTCTCCCAGAATGATGAGACAAATTGCAACAACTGCTGCTGGAGTGGCTGGGGGACATCTTGCTGCTAATGCCATTATGGGCATGGTATCTGGCGGAAAGGACGAGGAACCTGCCCCTGCTCCTCAGGCTCAAGGTTCCACTAACATTTCATTGCATAAACAGTATAGTATGATTGCTCTGGTAATAATTCCAGGAATTTGCTTAGGCTTAAATCATAAGTTGCATCTATAATTTGGTAATTTGGTAGCATAGTTCAGTAGTAGCATAGTGACTAGTGAGTCTCTATTATATTTATTCAGCTCCAGAACTGACCTGAAACTTTTCAGAGCCTCAGCAACCATACCAGCAACCGTACCAGCAACCCTACCAGCAGCCATACCAATCTCAACCTCAACAACAAGGTTTGATACTTCAACATGAACCGCATATCATGAAAATAAAGTCGTTATTTTAATCAATTATTTAAGGTTGTTGGGAAATTTGACCATATTTGTATATGTACTGTTTTGTATATGATACTGTGTAAATATAACTCTACTTGTACAGGTGGACAAGGTGGACCCTGTGGAGTTCAACTACAAGATTTTATACAGTGTGCACAGAACAACTACGACATTTCCCTCTGCAGTGGATTTAACCAAGCTCTCAAGGATTGCAAGCTAGCTAATCCTGGTTCTTGAAGCTTTTATTTACAAGATTTAAAGAAGAAAGTTGCTGAAATTGTTCCAGTGACCAAATTATAGTGGCCCTCTATATTATTATGATTCGAGATCTGTTGTGACCCTAATTGTGTTTTGATCTCACACTGGGAATGTACTTTTAAAACAAATTTTCACAAAATATAGTTTCCTATTCTTGATGCATTAATTATATAATGTTGGATTTAGGTGAAGGCAAAGAAATTGTGTCAAGTTTCGTGGAATGTACAGAATTAATTAATTATGTTTTTCTACGTCAGCAGTTAAAATTGTCTCTCTGTTTCCTTATGGCATGCTACAGTTTTTAAACCTGATAAAATCGATGCATGATGATATTATATTTATATCATATTATGATTAATAAGGTTTCTGGCGATTCCGAAATACACATATTATCATCCATATGGCTTGACCATATTATAATGAAATTTCAATCTTTTGTTAAAAAATATGAGTTGTATGAGAAACTAGAGTTTAGGTATCTCCAAAAACTCGATATAAATGCCTTTATTGCCTACAGACACGGACTATTACAATAAAATTGAATCTATTATCTTTATACCAATAACTAAAAGTAATAAACATATGATTTTAACTAGGACATGAGACGAAGTTGCAATTTGGCAACCGATGTTATTCGAATACTTGGTGCAAGACAACTCTCATGGCTGGTCGGTATCACTTTCATATGATATCTATAGATATCAGACAGAATTTTAATTTTAATTTTGCTTGTCTTATCGTAAATATTTCAGTGTGACTTCATTAGAATTAGAATTAGAATTAGAATCAAATTTACACAGCAATACAATAAGAATAAAAAATAATTTAAGAAGCTTCAATCTGCTGTGCAGGACATTCAAGTCAGTCAAAAACTGTTAGCAGAACACCCTTCTAGGGACATAAGGATATAGCATGTAAATTGTAAAACAAAATAAGTAATAAATTAATGAGTGGTAAAATAAGATATGATTTAACAGTGAACTGTGGGCACGAAGGTAACAATTAATGTTGAAAATTACATAGATGCCCACTTTGGAATTTCGTAAGTAATATTATTTACAGTTATACACAGAGAAGTATAGAACAACATTAGAATGGCAATGATAACAAATGGGAACGAATAAAGGAGATGTTTAAAGTTCTATACTTCTGAAAATAGGTCATATAACGCAGGGGGCCTTTTCACCCGACAAAAACTCCAGCACCTTAAAAATTGTTTCAGTTGTCACTTAGCTAGAGTGTTGAAATAGTCGAAACTATTGTTTATTTCATAGGATGAGACTCCTTGAATTACATCTGACATAAATTTAGATTTCATACATTGTGAGAAATTTACACTACATTCTATAGTCCTTATGTTCTCTGGAATTGTATTCCAACATTTTGCACCTAAATATGTAAAGGTTTTGTGTGTTCTGGATTTGTGAATATAAAGGTTGCACCTCTCAGCATCACGTGATCCTCCGGATACATAAGAAAATTTACCGGTGAATGATGATGGTGCAGCCTCATTAAGAATTTTATACATATACGTTGATAGATGGAGTTGTCGTCTTAAGTGTAAGGGTAACCACTTCATATTTCGATATACATTTACTGATGGTTCCTGCCAATGAACATCCAGTGCAATTTTTGCTACTTTCTTGTATAATACAGGGTGGCCCATAAGTGACTACCCACACGCAACCTCTTAATAACTCACGTAATTCGTCTCCAAATTGCACCCAAATTTCAGAGATTATAGATATGGGTCAAACTTAGATTTCCTGAAAGTTTCGTAAGCCACGCCCAATTACAGTGGGCGTGGCGTGACACTCCCTCTTTTTCACTATTGTCTTCATAAAATGAGAACGCTTTAAGCTAAGAACTCAAAATTTTTTGCACACATTTGGCTTGATAATTGAAAACCTTTCCCAAAGTTTCAAGTTCATTGGTTAAAATATGGCTGAGTTATGATCATTTCAAAACTCATCGGATACGTGATCCGAGCACTCAGTCAGTGATCTCGTCACTTGGTTAATGACCTGTTTGGCTCACATGCACCGCTTGATTGGTTGCAGCCTGCTTATGGGCCGGCCTATACAGCTGACTGCACCTAAAACGCTATCACACGAATTTATGGTGGTGTCACCATTTCAGGGCTTGTTAGCCCTGCTAGTCACAGGTTCCTTACAATCAATAAAAAGGAATGAACCATCCATTGAATCATCGAAAATGGTTCACTATCCTCCCTTTACTGCAAAACAACGATTGTTCGTCTACCTAAAGAAAGAAAATGGGGAGTTCTACCCTCAGATTAAACGACAATTTCAGATGAAATTCAACCGACCACCCCCTTGCCGGAAAAGCTGCTTTGACATTCATCACAAGATCAAGTTTACGTTTTCTGCACACGATCGGCGAAGAGTCGGCAGAAGACGAACTGCGAGGACTGTAGAAAACATCACGATGGTTGTTGGTGACGTGATGGACACACCTAAGATTGGCACCCGGAAACGAGCTCCTGCCTTAGACATCAGCAGAACCATTCAGCGAATCCTAAAGCAAGACCTTTCTAACCGGGCCTACCGAATCACAAAGAAACACAAACTTTTGGACCGTGATTTCCAATCGAGGATAGATTTCGCCAACACATTCCTGTCCAAGCAGAATGTGGATCCCTACTTTGAGGACGAAATCTGGTACAGCGACAAGGCCATATAAACGGATATGTCAACTCCCAGAATGCAATTCACTGGGGCTCTACTAGACCGGATGAAGTGGTGGAGAGAACGGCTTTTCCTGAAAAGGTCACGATCTGGTTTTTATCCTAAAAATTTGTGTTTCCCTTTCTAGCAAAGTCATCATCGGTATCCAATCGAAGCCTAATGAACCTCATTAATACACGCTAACGCCTTACTCTTGATCAGATTGGGTGACGAGATCACTAATTGAGTGCAAATATCACTGACTGAGTGCTCGGATCACATATCCGATGGATTTTAAAATGGTCATAACTCAGCCATATTTTAACCAATGAACTTGAAACTTTTGGAAAAGTTTTCAATTATCAAGCCAAATGTGTGCAAAAAATTTTGAGTTCTTAGCTTAAAGCGTTCTCATTTTATGAAGACAATAGTGAAAAAGAGGGAGTGTCACGCCACGCCCACTGTAATTGGGCGTGGCTTACGAAACTTTCAGGAAATCTAAGTTTGACCCATATCTATAATCTCTGAAATTTGGGTGCAATTTGGAGACGAATTACGTGAGTTATTAAGAGGTTGCGTGTGGGTAGTCACTTATGGGCCACCCTATATCAAGAGAATTAAGTCTGGTTTTGGCAGCCCTAGACCATATTATATCCAGGTAGTCAAATTGGGGGAGCATAAGAGCATTTACAAACATTTTTCTATATTTCAGTGGAAGAAGATTTTTCGACCTATATAATGCCCCTATTCTTTTAGCAATTTTTGATTTCACATAATCAATATGGTCTTGAAAGTTCAATAAATTGTCTATCATGAGACCTAAATATTTTTGAGATTTAGTTTCTTCTATAAAAAGGCATTCTTTTTCCAAATCCAGAGGGATTGACAACGTGTCCAGATTAGGATATCTATCAAATACAATGAATGAAGATTTTGCAGCATTTAGTCTCAGCTTGTTGATTCTAAGCCATTCATACACAATTTTCATATCCTTAATTACATTTTCATATATGCTTCGGGAAATGTTATCAAAATATAGTGCACTGTCATCTGCAAATAAGTAAACAGTAGATTGTGTGCAATTTCTACTGAGATCATTTATGAATAAACTAAATAGAATTGGTCCTAATATGCTACCCTGTGGCACACCTGTTTTAACAGGGAGTGATGTGCTTACATTACCACGCATTTTGGTGTGCTGCTTTCTGTCCCCAAGGTAGCTTTTGAACCACTTTATGACAAAGCCATCAACTCCATAATACTTAAGTTTTTTCAATAAAATATTATGGCTTACTGTGTCAAAGGCCTTTTTAATATCTAAGAATACAATTGCAGGTTTCTTCTGTGATTCCTTAGACGTAAATATTTTATCAAATAGATTAAGCATTAGAAAAGTGGTGGAATGATCTTTTCTAAATCCATACTGATTGTTGGTAAGCAGTTTATTTGTTTCAACATACTCTGTGAGCTGTTGGTTAACAAAATATTCTATGCATTTTCCAAGTAGGGGGAGTATGGATATTGGCCGGTAGTTATTTGGATCATTAGGGTCACCAGTTTTAAGAATTGGAGTGACTGATGCAATTTTACATGCCAACGGCATTGTTCCACTTTTCATACTAAGGTTTATAATATGAGCTACTGGATCGATAATTTGGGGAATAATATACTTATATACTTTAATAGGCATGATATCGTTAATAGATTTATCTGATGGTATACTGAGTATATATTCTTTTACTTGTTCAACAGTCACCTCTTCGAATACAGAGAGTTTACACTCTGGTGGAGGCGGCATATATTCTAGAAAGTCGTCTGAATCCTTTTCCTTAATTGATTCTTGTAATATTGTACCAACTGTGGCAAAATGCAGGTTAACTCCGTTAACATTTAAGTTGCTTGGGGAAGAGCTACTTATTTTTCCAGGTAAGTTTGAAGCATGTTTGATAGTTTTCCAAATACCTTTCAAATCGTTTTTTGCACTTTTCACAGTAAGGTCCTGAACAATATTTGTGCGTCTGTTTTCTTTGGATAATTTTGTCACATAGTTTCTTTGGGGACGATAGTTATCCCACGAAGTAGAGCATTTCTTATGTAGCTCACTTTTTCTGCAGTTACATATTCCATTAATACACTTACACTTGAATTTGTTTAATTGTCCTAAACACTTTTTATACTTTCTGAAAAGCATCTTCTTCTTCCGTATTTCTGCCAACAGTACTTTAGAGGGATTACAAAGAAAGTTACTATTACATTTAATCTGTTTAGGTGGACAGTAATTATCATACGATTCCTGGATGTGATGATTAAGTCCATCTAGCGCATGGTCTACATTAGTACAGCTTAGAATATTACTGTAGTTACTGCAGGATCCCAGAAAATAGCTTAAGGCTTTTAGATTGTTTAAGGAGTGGTCTCTGATAAGGACCTTCTGGAATTTACTAGCTTTATTTACTTTAAAGTCGAGAACACATTTGAGAGCTTGGTGATCTCCTATTCTATCATCAAGTACTTTACACTCTATGAAATTAGAGTAACAGTTAGTCATTACAACATCTATTGTGCTCTGCGTTATTCTACCATCTAAGTTTGCAACTCTAGTAATTCCTGTAACAGTCTGTATCATTCCAAAGAGCTTCATTGTTATATCTAACTTTTTATAATCTAGATCAGATAAAGAGTTTTGGTTAACATTAACATCGCCAATCCATATTACTTTCTTACCTTGAAGTTTCATCATACATTCAGTCATATAATCAAGGAAAGTATCTAGATGACAAAAGTTTTGTGATCTGTAGAAGCAGCAAATGTAAAGATTGGCGTCCTTGAGTTGTATCCATATAGCTTCGATTTTAGAAATATCAGAGTAGGTTATATCTAAATTGAGTAATTTGTGGTTAACATTTTGGTTGATCAATATACCACACCCTCCTCTTCCTCTATCGTTAGGTCTATCACACCTTATAAAATCAAAGTTTAAGGGGAAGTTAAGTGTACTAGTGTCTATATCAGATTTAAGGTTTGTCTCATTAATTCCAATTATGTCAAGCTTTTCGCGAAATATTAGCTCCTGTAGTTCGAGAGTTTTTGCCAGATTAGTCAGGCCACCCTGTATATTACATAGACCAAGAGAGAGATTATCGTTTATTGAGGTACGAATAACGTTAAACCAAAGCTAATGGGGAACAAATCCACATGCAGTCTCCTCAAGTAGACTAAGTTTCAAATCATGTCATACATATGATTTAAATTGGATTTCGGATCAGCAATCATACTGCAGTTTAAATCATAAAATTTAACAGCATAAAATAGTAACTCACTTCTGTTTGTGATAAATATAGCTTGAGAGATATAAAAACGTTAAGTTATTAGAAATTTGTTCTGATCTAACATTTTAAACCAGATAAAACAGTACTCCTGTTATTATTCATGTTGATACCCTTGGATTATAGAATTTTAATGAAGTTTAACACAAGTGAGTTACATATTTGAGATGCTTACCAAGCCTGGCAATTCCTAACTTATTAAGGTGCACATTGTCATGGCCCCTGCCAAAATACTTGTCCTTTCTATTATAATTTAAAGTAAAGAGATTATTTTCATGTTCTGTGTTAATGTATATGAGCCCATGCTTATAACACATATTCTCTAAGTATCGATTAAGTCCCTGCACTATAATGTTCTTACTAGTGACAGCTCTAGGCAGAATATTTAAGATATATATTTTTGCACTATTAAATTCTGCCCACAATTTTTGAACAAATTCTTCCATGTCATTGGTGGCACTGTTGAAGTTCATTGTGTTGAGGTCAATTGGATCAACACAGTTAGTACCAGTTAGTAAAACAACCTTTTTAACCTTTTCTTTGTTGAGAACTTTGAACTGACTGTCGCTAAAGAGTCTTTGGGACATTTGGATTGAGTTGGCCCCTGGGTAGAAAAATACTTTGGCCTTCTGAGATGAAGAGCTCAACAGTTTTTCATTCAGATGCCTGAAGATGCTGCTGCTGATATAAACTGTGCTCACATCGTTGGGTGTCTCCTTTTCGAACAATTGTTGTCTGTTAACATGCCGCCCTGATTGATGCAGATGGGGTGGTGGAGATGTATAGGGTGAGGTTAGAGGTCGGTGCTGATAAGCACCATTCGTTTTCCTTGATGGATGAACTATAAACTCGTCTTCTTGATAAGGTACATAGCCGCTGGAGTTGGAGATGTTTTCATATGGGTCATGGTAATTGTCATTGCACATGTTGGTTGGTGTACTTGTTAATCTTTGGACAACAGCTACAGGTTTGATCAGTCTGAATGTGATACTGATCCTTTTGTTTGTACAAGATGGTTGAGTACAGATTTCATGTCTGTAGTGAAGCTGGGATTTTAGACATGATACAAACATCCCCATGCTTTAGATCTAGGGCAGACACCACTTTTCCTGTTTGAATTTCTGTGAACTGCATCGTCCTAGAGGCACCCAGAGAAACTGTAACAATATAAGAGTTTTCATCGATGCATTCTTCATTATCACTATGAATAGGCATGCATTCTGTCCCAGTACTGTAGTAGTTTACGAGAGCACTGTTGTAAACATAATCCGGGAGTAACACATCAAGATATGAACAGATAGCAGCCAGATAGGACTGATGTGGTATCTCCTTCGCCTCGTGACTTCCCCCATTATACACATATGGGAAGTCCCCAAAGTAAGCTGTTTTCCTATTTTGAAACTGGTGGCTAAAATCCAATTCTCTCAGGAAGATGTCTAAGGAGAATTTTTGAAACGGTGCCTGATCAATGAGTTCAACAGGTGGTATGACAATGTCAGGGCTTTCGTCATTTACACTTAAGGCCACACTAGATATGGGTGTTACATCTATTTCAGCATAATACTTGCCACTCCATGGATTGACAGATCCTGTACTCCCACTGATTTGATTTTCTGTGTTGTTGGAAATGATAGAATCTGGTGCTTCAATGATGCCATCACTATTGATTAGCATGAAAGATTCAGGCACCTCACATTCACTGTCATATTCAATCTGATCGTTTTCAAATTCTGTCTGAACTGCAACATCTGAACACCTATCCAGGACAGCCCGATAATCTATTGACTGATTGGTACTTTGATGTAACAACGTACCATTAATCTCTGCTATAGTCTGAGAAGTTTAAACAATGTCTTCTAGGATGATCACTTTCCGCTCGAGAAACTTTACATGAGATTTGAGTGCAGTACAGTTTTTGCATTTTTGATCACATTCCGACAATAGTTTTCCAAAAAATGTTTCCATTGAATCGTCCATGATATTGAGTTGATGATTTGAATTAAGTTGTTGATTTGAATTGAAGCAAATTGAAGAGTTCACATGTGAGATTTGTTCCATTCCATTAACATTACATTCGTATTACATTCGTATTACTTTGGTCATACCTCAATAAATGTATTTAATTGTAGTTGTGAAAATAGTTTAAAAATTTCAAACAGCTCTGTATTTTCAGTACAAGAATATGCTCGATTCTTGTTTTTTTTACCTACTAACATTGACAGTACTGTATTTATCTATTTATTATCAAACTTCTAAATAAATCTCAGGTCCAAAGCTCGGTGATAGTAGAGAGGCCTCCACAGTACCAACCAGCAGTAGAGCCTTTAGTAGCTAAATACCAACAAATGAAGGCAACTATCAAAAATGAACGGAGTGTCTACAATGATTTCGAACTTGCAGCTGAAAGTAAAAAGGATGAAATTATCAAAGAAAGGAAACAGAAGTTTCCACCTAAGAACAAGTATGATTTACCCCAATACTTTTCCTCTGCAGACGAAAAGGCTCTGATGGACCCTGTTCAGAATGACGATTACCTTCCACTAAAACCCCAAGGAACGTCAAATGAAGACAAACAATCGGTCCATCTCATTAAACCATATTCATCAGTTTTCTTAATCGTAAAATCAGATGACGGCTGGACATTTCCTCACAAAATGGTGGAGACAGAGAAGTCATTAGAGGAAGCTGCTGTAGCAGCAGTGGAATCTCATCCATCTAATCAAAACCTCAAACTCCAAGTCTCAAGTGGATTACCCATAAGTGTGCATGTGAATAAATACAGTAATAAATATCAGGATCGTACCAACCGTACGGGGGTCAAAACCTTTTTCATGAAAAGTAAATATAACGGTGGGAACTTTACAGGTGAATCATTTAGATGGTGTACTAAAAGTGAACTCAAAGATTTTGTTCCGAAGGATGTGCTAAAATGTGTGGAGCCTTGTTTGAAGTGAAATTTGTTGAAATGTTTATATTTATGTTATAAGATGGAATGATGTTGTCGCTTTCTTGAATTGAAATTATTGTTTCATGTATCAAATTACAGATCAATGGAATTATCAAATTAAAAACGTCATAAAATATAAATTATTAATTATAGTTTTAAAATATGTCCAGAATTTACATTTGCTATAATATATCTATTAGCTATAATATCAAATTTGAGAAGTACGATGATCTTATAATAATATGAAAACAATATAATAGGGCACGATTTATAAACTCGAGACAATCTTTTCAGCCTTACTCCCAAGTCCCAAGATGGCAATGATATTCGGCGTCCAACTCCTCTCCACTCTTATTATCGGCTTGTTTATGACGAAGATATTCAGCAGTTACAGCTACGGTCTCCTGATCTTCTACAATGTGTGGTTTTGCGTGCCCCCAAGTACGGGACATCTTGGAGAGTTTTCCCAAGCCTACAAGGACCACATGAAGAAAAAACCACGGAATGGGGACAAGAAGACCCAGCTTGAGGACTTTACAATTCCAAAGGACAGCGACTTTAAAGCCAGATACAATCGAATCATATCATACACTCAAATCAAGCTGCTACCACACGGCGAAGAGATAGATATGATAGTGCTAATGTCTCTGTCAAGTATCCTGATCTACGCAGTCACAGAAGCGGCCATTTACCTGGAGTACACACCAGTAACTGATCTTCATCTCTCTTATATCTGGTCACTTATCGTGCTCCTGTTCTGTACTAAGTTCCTCTGTTACATGTTCAAAGTGTACGTTCAGCTGGGAGGAGGAGAAAGATCACTTTGTGCTATTTCTACCTTTCTCTTTATTGTATTCGCTTTGATGGTCTCTATGGCTAGCAAGAAGTCCATTGATTTTGGGATCGATGAAGGCTACAATGAATTTGTTGAGGAGTTTTCCAAGTTCGGCAATGCCACCAAAGTGAAAGGCCAGGATATGTCGATGCCGTCAGTTAAAGCATTCAAAGGTTTTCTGATTGTCTTATCAGGGTTTATTGGGGCTCTTCTCACCTTCCCTAGTTTTAGATTTGGAGCACTTAACAGCCAACTGCTGCGAAAAGCTAACGAAGTAAAGGAGGAAGATGAGGAGAAGCCAAGTTATGCTGATAGTTTCAAGGACAAAATGTCCCAAGTTTTGGTACATTTCAACCTGATAGCACCTCTTCTTGTGACTTTGTGTTGGTGTAAGCCTCTGGTCCAGGAACACATTGAAAAACAGGTACAAATCTCTGAGAAATCGTTCAACATCCTCCGAATTTGCTTCATTGCACTGATGATGCTGGTTCGTTTGTTTTCAATCAAACTCTACACTCAAACTCACCTGGACTCTGCAAAGAGATACCTCTACACCCTAAAGCGGGAAGCAGGGAGGATAGATCACAAAGTAATCCAGCAGAAGATAGCATACACCTTCCAATACAGCAGTGTTGTAGTTCTCCAGATCATCACTCCCGCCCTTATCGTCCTACAACTGTGTCTCATCCTGTTATCTCTACAAAACATGCCTGATACCATGCCTCCTCTCACTGCTACCAGCTCCATTCTAGACGGAGTTACGGATATCATCCCTGATGTTGTCTCTAAAGCTGATGTTAGCGTGTTTCAAGGGATGCGCTCTGTGCTAACAAAACAGTTCCTAACGAGTGTGGGCAGTTATGTTATGTGGTGGGTTGTCAGTGTTAACGCTGCAGTGTCGCTCTTTAGCACGTGTTATCATCACGTGTCAGAACAGGTTTAACACGTGACAAATGTGGCACGTGACAAATGTGGCACGTGTAATATGTGACACGTGCTGCCAAAGCAAGTCTGATCAATTTGATGGATCCTTTATATTGATTAGGGATTTCAAATATATGTTATATAATATTATAAATATTATTACTATTATTAATAACATTTACTGCATTAATTACTCATTATCATATTTTAAACTATCGTTTAAATTTCATAACTTGTAAATGACTCCACTTTGCAGTATTTTCGTTGAATGGGTCGTTTATTATTTAAGACAAAGTAATTATTTATGCTGTTGCTTTTTTATGGCTATTTATCATATTCTAGAGCTGCTATTTTTTGTTCATGATCTTTTAATCTGAAAATAATCTCTAGAATTCGGCATTTGCAAGGTTCATAAATAAATTTCTTTTACTGGTACCCCAAAAACTACAAGTGATATAATATATCAGTCTTAGATCATGTTATGGATCACGTTAATAATTGATAATGATAGTTATGATCAATTAGTTAACAATGAAGTAACCAGCCGAGCCACTATATCTAATGGGTGTTATCAACTTTAAAACATTTTATTATAATCCTTTATTTAAAAGTTTAAACGTATCATTTGACTAATACATTCCTTTACTCAAAAGCATTGTAGATATCCAAATTGTATTATTTTCTGTCTCCATATATCTGAAGGATTGTGAATCAACTATGCCTATAATTGCATTTGCATTTTGCAGTTTGTTCGTTTAATTTCTTAAATTTAATTGATCTGACTTTACTTATTTGTTACTAATGTTGCATTGATATTAAAAATGTAATCGAAATGGATATGTCGCGTATTCCATAAAAATACTGTATTCATATACTTACAATTATAATCAGTTACAGATTTATTACCTCGATCGATATCGTGCACTCTTACCCATATTATACTTGCTTACACAGAAGGTGGAATGGAAGGGAAGGAGCGAGAAGAGAAGGAGCGAGAAGAGAAGGAGCAAGAAGAGAAGGAGCGAGAAGAGAAGGAGCGAGAAGCTCTAATTCCACCATATCCTTATGTGACCCACGTTCCTGAAAACCTGCCACTCTCAGAGCATTTCAGCTCTCTGATGCTAAGTTTCGACCCTCTAGCTACTACACTAGAGCTCTCCTCACTGACTCTCCTTACTCTGATAGCCTGGATATACGAGATAAGAGTTGAAGGAAGTAAGTCTTTGTTGGAAGTAGCAGCTGCTATGTGGGGTTTCAGTTTACTGAGAAGAGTTTATAACAATTATTTGGAAGCAGTGTTTTGTGCATTCCCTCAGAATCGGACTCAGTCTGTGAAAGAGCACAAGTTGAAGTATGTCAAGGACTTGGTAGGGCGAGATAAGGATCAACTAGCTGCTATTGCTGTTCAGGATCGCTTAACATTTGCCAGTCAGTTTTGTCTGGATTTGTTTGTTTATTTTATGATTCCAGGATTTTACCCCGCGGAGGTGTCCCCGTGTTGCTCTTCTTCCCTGCCCAGAAGAATGGTTCAGCTTGTGTTGAATCATTATGTAATGTCATTCGGAATGTATTGGTCTCACAGGGCACTCCACAAGAATGTATGGCTGTGGAAAAACATCCACTCTCTTCACCACTGGGCAAAACATCCTCTTTCCCGTACCACTTATCAGGATCATTGGCTGGATAATTTCGGGAATGCAATAGTTGGTCACATCTTCGCTCAGATTCTAGTGCCGGTAGATGGTCAGATGTTCTGGGTTTCCAGAGTTTTCAGAGTGTGCGAGAGTTTAGAGAAACATTCAGGAGTAAGTGGTTATTTCAACTTAGCACATTCAGTGCAGCGCTGGTTGCCATTCGCTCAGATGCCACATCACCACGACTGGCATCATGAAGGACACAAAGGATGTAACTACACTTTCACTTCCATTGGGGGACTATGGGACTGCTTATTTGGGACCAGGAAAACAGGCCGTTCTATCCAATCTGTGGAAACAACACATGATAAACACCAGAAGGAGAATAGTAAGGGAGTTAGTTATTTTGACACGGCGTATTTTGATGGGCAGTACAGTTGTTTTATACCACTTGTTGCTCTTACTGGGTTTGTTATTAAAGTACTAAGTTAAGATGATATTTTCTGAATGAACCGAGCGGCGTGCATGATTATTGGTATAGTTTTACGCGAGTATTTCGGGTTGCATGTGGTTTTTTTTTTATTTTTAGGCTATAAATTGATTAACCTTTGATTCGTTTTAGTGATAATGATTTTTTAAACAAATTATATTTTAAGACAATCACTCCAATTTCTTGTTTAATATTTTTTGTTATTTTTAGTTGTTTAGTTATATTTTATACAATATCTTTGTCACATAGTAGCGCGGTAGTAAATATTGTTTTTCGTTTCGTTTCATTTTGTTCGTTAAAATTTGACAAAATTGATAAAATTCCTTTCTCGAAATGTTGATGTATTCACAATACTTAATGCTTGTGAACATATGTTTTAATTTGAAGATGAGGTTAAATTTGCAACCCTTTTTCAGCCATGTAGTGAATTGTACACAAGGCTCAACAGCATCACCTCATTGTTATAAAGGTAATGCAGCTATATCAAACATAAACCTTCCGGAGTTGATAAATTCAAACTTAATTATATTTTTACTGGTAAAGGTGACCTGATATTTATATAAAACTGTGATATGAATATAAAACAGCATTCAAGCGAATTAATATTTCTATATAATTGTTAAATATAGATTTTAAACAGTGTATCTGATATTCACAGGACCCCGGATGTCGAATAAACCGACGTTTTGGAAACACTCAGACGTCAAACAACCAGGAAGGTAATTGATTTAAATCTAGTAAATTAATTAATTAATTAATAATTCTTACTGCAGTAAGTTTGATTAATAGGATAGACATATGACACAGATTTGTACGATTGATTCAAAAATTCAGGCCCCACTGCTCGATTCATTCTGGAGGAACGTGTGCACAAATTGATTTTATATTGAATAGTACGGTGCATGCAACCCTTGTGATGTAACATACATCAAATTTGCAGCTGTTGCATCACCTTTACCACTGTGTGTTTACAGATGTAACCAACTTTTACCCCTTCTGTGGCTATACTCCTTCTGCGCTTAGCTCCTTTGAACGCAGATATTATGGGTCTTTAAATTTGGGGCGCAATACTTTCAATCATCTTTAAAATCATCTTTTTGATTCTGTACAAACCCAATAGTTTGTGACGATATAATTTTGTCATGTTCAGCGAATAGACTTCTTAATCAGAGAGATTGAACGTCCTTAACCCACTTTCTAATTATCTTCGTTTATAATGCCCCGTACTCATGGCTTCCAGGAAGCACTAAAGTCTAAACGTTTTATTACCCAAGCAGTAAGCACTCGCCATTTAGTAATATTAGTCCTGTTGATTTTACTTCAAGTGGCAATTTCTGAATGGTCACGAGATTGAGTATGTATTATGCGTAGGGCGGGACGCTTCTCCTATGGATAATTTCTAAGAGATTTGTTGCGTTTCCCGCGCGCATAGCTAGCCGCGCGTTGTGCCGTCATAACGAACGCCAGGCCACATGAAGTTTTCTCGAGTTTTGTAGAATTTTCGACGTGATTAAGTGGGAAGTTGCATCTCTGAAATATCGTTGCAAATTGACAAATATGCCAACATGAATCAAATGAGAGTTTCAATTCCTTTCACTCTAGGATTTGTGAAATTGGAGCAAAGTTTCAGGAACTTTCTTTGCCCTGACTAATCTCTTTCGGCAAGCATATAATCTAACTTTGTGAAGCATCTTAGTTACTTTTAACTAGCTAGTAGCTTTTATGTCATATCTTTTCAATAAGCTGTGCTATTACCTAAGACCATTTACTGGAACTTTCGGAGGCGTTCTAAATGATGTCTAAGTTAGTGAAATACTTGTCGCTGTTGAACTAATCGCACAATTATTACTGATCAGTGTTGTTTTAAATTCAAGTTTCCTTGACGAGCTTCAATACTGCAAATTGTTGAGATCGTGATCAAAAACTTCGACGCCATTTTTGGATCTTCTCAATTTCTTTCCACATTACATTTTTTACCCATAAGGTATTTTCAGCATAAAGCGTGTAAGCTCTCAAGAGAATCAAACGGATCATATGCTCAAGAAAAACACTCGCAAACCAAGACAATCGGGGGATGATGACGAAGTGAGCATTTTAAATAACTTTTAAATTTTCATTTAACCAAGATAACAAATAAATAAATAAAACCACTAGATATTGCGTTTAGTTAGGATCACAAGTAGAAAAAGCTTCTAGACTTGGATAATGCTCGGTTACACTGAAATATGTATTATGGTTTTTGCCACTTATCGCTATCGTGAAATTGTGCTCATATTTTCAGGACAAGTTTGTAGAGTTCAACAACAAAACAGAAGACGCCTGGCTGGATGACAGTCAAACAGATCTGGAATTCTCCATCAACCCGGTGGAAACAGCAGGGATGGGTTTGAGCAAGATGAACATCCACCCTTCCCTACCCCGCGATCTGAAGGTGTCTAAAAACTACCAGAAAAGGGGGAACCGCCCCCATCTGTTGCCACGGCAACTAAGTTCGCCCCAATATCCCACAAGTGATATTTATATTCCACCCAGAACTGCTTCATCTTCAGCTGGCATTTCTACTCCTTCAGATTGGACCAGTTAGTTATTTGTTAGTACTCAGTAATCGTCCCTACGTTATAGATGGTGGGCTAGCTCTGTTTTCAAACCATGACCCTCAGATCAGGAGTTTATTTTAACTCTATCTGTCATCAGGCGAAGGAGTGGCGGAGTCACGACACAGTACCGCGATGAACAAGGAGGACAAACACAGGGCTAAATTTGAAGAGATTCTTCAGTCAGATTGTCCTGATCTGGGTAGGTGATGCTCAGCCGCATATTCTTACGAACTATGAAGGTGCCGTTTTGGTCATTTGCATTTACTGTTATTAGTTTTACTGGTTATAGTTAAATAGTAATTGTACTCTGAGAACATCTGTTGTGTCACGTGGTATGTATTTTGACCCCCCCCTCTTCAGAGAATCTAAAAAAGAGGACCTGGTTCGGGTGCCCCTCTTATCAGCGACCAATAGTCTGGCAGATGCTGAGCGGCTACTTGCCCCCTAACGTAGCGCGGCGCAATGATACTCTAAACAGGAAGCGAGGCGAGTATTGGCGCTTTGTTGCACAGTACTTCAAAACTAGACACGACCCTGACTTCAGCAGTCTCTATCACCAGGTAGTTTATTTAATGTAGCTTTAAGCTGTTTTAACTAGTCGATTAATGATTTTTTATGAATTGTCTTCCTTTTAGTACTTTACAAATTGTTGTCAAAGGTATTTCACTCATATATATACACCTTGAGTTCTAAAGACCAACAATTAATGTAATTCTAATATTAATAGTCCCAATAGTAATGCGACGTTTTAGAGAAATGATAAAACCGTTCTTAAATCAACATTCAACATGGGATTGTTTGACTTGTAGTCCTAAAACTATCTTAATTAAAACGATAAGTTGTTAGTTGATCTTGTGTCGTTCCATATCTTTAGTCTCTAATTCTTCATTTCTCCGATGACTTAACCTCCTACGAGGCTAGGAGAGGATTCTGGTTTGGAATATCCCGGGACTGCAATGAAAGTTCCTTCAGTCCTGTAACCTTTGACAGACCATAAACTTACGTCTGAATCAGCAGCAGATCCCTGGTCGTTCCATACAAGCTCTGGGTCTACCTGGACCACCGACTTGTTCTTTATACAGCAGAACTTCTCAGGATCCGGCTTCGCAGAATAGCTGTTCATTGCAACTGCTCCAAGACAGGTGTATCCAGCAGGAGCGTTCATCTTGTAGATCGTAACATTACCTTCTGATCCCATACCTAGATTTCTCCACACGGCGGTGAAGCTGGTCGGGTTGATGACACTTTCTGTATTATACTTGTGTAGAATAAATGTTCGACCGGTGGGTTTCTTATAAGTTCTAGTGGCAACATCTCCAAGAATACAGAACTCAGAGCTAAAAATGGGGCGCCACACCGCACCGTTCAGTTCAGCGCTAGATCCGACATCGCTCCAGATAAGTTCATAGTTCATTGTGAACCTGATGTCGCATTGAGACATCCCTGCTATTAGTGCGAACAGGACCACTCCAATCATGCTTCTTCTTTCTTTGTGGGTCTTTGAAGTGGAGACTTTCTAGAATGAAGTTCGAATACCAACTAGGATCTTTTATACTCGTACAACAATTAATGGGCTTCATCTTTACCACATATCGTTCTCAACAAGGTGTTAAATGTATTTTCTGAGCTCTGAATAATAAAGTGTCGAACGGTTGAATAGAATGACAAAGAACGTGCCGTAACGTTCATACGTTTTCTCTACTCGTTCCTGAAACGCTTCTACTCTATCTTATTGTATTAGTAGTGACAACGAGCTTCACAGTTCAGTAGTTATAAGGGATACGCAGAGAATTTTTAGCTATCTATCACAATGAGATATGCCAGATGTTAAAAGTTTAAACCTAGCCATTTCAAAGTAAGACCGGAGAAAATGGTGTTCAGAATTTAACGGGGCTCCGTGCTGGAGATATTTCCGGAAATTTTGTATCTCTAGCAAAAAGATTTGTTGATTGGGCAAGTCTGCACCACTAATTAATGAGAAAGGGGAAGTTAAAGAATGGTCTGATGAAGGCGAGAAGGAATTGTACGATGAATTGGTCAAATTGACCTTGGGTGATTGAAACCTCACCAAGTTCTTTGGTCGATGGATCAGAGTACAAGCTGTCAGACAATTAAATGGGCCGGTTTTAATATATTGATTCCAAAAAAACGATAGTGATAATTTTAAAATATAGAAAATAACTTTTCTCAGATTCACATAGATATTCCGCGGACCAACCCTGCTATCGCCCTCTTTCAACATATGAAGGTTCAAGAGGCCTTTGAGAGGATACTCTACATTTGGGCATATAGGAACCCAGGGTCAGGATACGTTCAGGTAACTTTTTTCCCCCTTTGGTTTTTGAATTTTTAGACCACTTCTGTATGGAAAACTATGTGATCAGATATTCTATCAAATTGTAGTAACAGCAAGAGTTTGTGTATGAGAAAATTTATAATTTAATTTAATTAACACTTCACTGGGTACGGTATAGTTTATAGAATGTTGCCTTTCACTTTCACTTTCACTCTATAATTAACTTCTCTCAGGGTATCAACGATCTGGTAACGCCCTTCTATGTCGTATTTCTAGGACAATATGTTGGTGAGTATTGATCAATGTGATATAATATGAATTCTTTTCAAGTGTCTAAAACGTTGAGCATGTAAACTTTTGAAGATTAGGAAAGGTTATAAGATGACTATTTGCTACACTCGCAAAGTAAAAGTGAACCCCTGTATCTTCAGAAGGAGAGGTAGAGACAGCAGATATCTCCCATCTAACAGACGAGACTCTTGCCAACACGGAGGCTGACACTTACTGGTGTCTTAGTAAACTACTGGACAACCTACATGACAACTACACATTCGCTCAACCAGGAATACAGATGAAAGTTCATGATCTGAGGAGACTCGTCAACCGTATGGATGGTAATTAATATAATTAGTATAATTAGTAAATCAACATGATATGATTTGTGTTTGGACATAATTAAGTTAAAATTAAGGTGGAAGTAAAAGTGCCGCGGCCGTGCGTTATTCTGAATTTTGAAATAATTCTGCGTTTCAATATACAAACCCCATATCCAAAAACCCGCATTCTCGCATTCTAAGAATGTAGGAAATTTTTAAAAGTAGGAAATTTTTGATAAAAATTAGGAAATTCGAGAGCCAACTCTGAGAATTTTCGATAATATTTCAGTAGGAATTTAAGTGAAAGAGCAGACTAAAAGTTGCTGGACCGTTATTTAAATGTCTTCAGTCAGGGATCCACTGATCCAGTCTATCAAATTTCGTTTCACAGACCAAAGTTTGTTGCTATTAGCTACAAAATCTGTGCATCAAGTAACCACTAACCAGATGCTAATTATTGGGGCATTTTCGCGTACACGACATAAATAGTTGTCATTATTACTTTATTAACATTTTACTATCTACTTATCTAGTCTATGAAACCGGATATGTCTACAGTGTCACCCGATATCTGTATTGGCAAGCAGTAGCATATACACATCACGTCTTCAATGTGTGTATCACACAGGCACGTAGACAGGGGGGGGCTAGGGGGGCGGCAGCCCCCCCGGAAAAAATCGAACCCCAGAAAAAATATAAGCCCCCTAGTCCCCATGGTCGCCTGGTAACTTGGCTGTGTTTATGACTGCAGTCAGTCAAAGATCTGAACTGTGGATTAGTAAATATCTGTCATAAAATCCAAGCAAACATTCTAGAAGACTTCTATAAATAGTCAATAGTGTCCCCTAGACCGTAGGAAATGTAAAAATCTTAAGACGATGAGGCCTGAGTAAGTCGTAAATTCTGATTGGAGAATACAGATTGCTGTTGTGAAGTTACCAAATTTACGTGAGTACTTGATTCTTTTCAATTCCAGTTTATTGCTGTCCTACAAATTTCTTTAATGCCAAATGTCGTCTAAAACACCCTGTTTCGCAAAAAATTTCCAGGGGGCTGCGCCCCCCTAGCCCCCGCCAAGGGGCTCCGCCCCTGGACCCCGCTGGGGGCTGCACCCCCAGACCCCTGCCACAGCTTGCTCGCTGCGCAGCTGGATTGGACGCGTCGGATCGCTTCGCTCGCCGACAGCCCCCCTCAAAGAAAAATCCTGGCTACGTCCCTGCCGCGCGAATACAAAGACTTTTTATGCGAGCGAAGCGAGCGGGCCACAGAAAACGAAAAAATTGAGAATGTAGGAAATTAAAAATTTTTTGGATATGGGATACAAACTCGCTTCAAATACCTGATTTGAAAAATACTTGCTGAAGAAATTTGGATGAGAAATGCATTTAATTCATAGTTTAAGTGAAGGAGTGGGGGGGGGGGGGGGCAATGACTACTTTTGGGGACTTGGGGAATTACGTCAACGATTTTACCCCGAGTCCCCATGATTTTCAGTCCCCATTAGTCCCCAAAAGTCTCCATTAGTCCCCATTTAGATGATTTTTAGTCCCCAAAAGTCTCCATTAGTCCCCATTTAGATGATTTTTAGTCCCCAAAAGTCTCCATTAGTCCCCATTTAGATTTATCCTACTCTTATCTTGGACAGAACATCTCGATCGTATCGTTATTAAACTAACTTGAAAACCATAAATAGCTGTCAAAAATTCTGGGGACTTATGGGGACAAATGGTGAATTACGTCAACGAGTTGACCTCTAGTCCCCATGATTTTTAGTCCCCATTAGTCCCCAAAAGTCTCCATTGGTAGTCATTGCCCCCCCCCCCCCCCCCCCCCCCCCCCCCACCCCCCCCCCCCGAAGGAGTTATGAAAGTGAAAGTGAAAGTGAAACCCCACCTTCAGGAGTATTGGATGAACATTTGGAGCGCAATGTTGTGGAGTACCTTCAGTTCTCATTCAGATGGATGAATAATCTTCTGATGAGGGAGATGCCACTACGCCGTACAATACGTCTCTGGGATACTTACTTGGTTTGTTCTCGTTAAACAGAGCTTAGATTATATTAGGGTTCCAGAGTCTTGCAACTTATGATTTGTTTCTCACCATGATATTTTGGTTCATACCAAAATCCTAATTTTTATCATTTTTAGTCGGAGCCGAACGGTTTCTCTCATTTTCATCTGTACGTGTGTGCTAAGTTCCTTACGAAGTGGGCTAAAGTTATCAAGTCTCTCCCTGATTTCCAGGTTTGTGAAGGGTTGGCCGGGTTTACAGTTTTACCATTAAAAATCAACAGAATGCATTAAATTTGACGTATTAAAACAAAATGCCCTACTCAGTGGTTTTAAGCCATAATAATAATATAATTGTTCAAACATCTATATTTCTAATCAATGATACAGTGAACTTGTGTTGATAATCTTAAAGTGAAAGTGAAACTTTTTTCCAGGCGATAATGTTGTTTCTACAAAGTTTACCCACATCCCGCTGGACAGATGATGACATAGCGGAGCTGGTATCAGAAGCGTTCCAACTGAAATGTTTGTTCCCCAAAGCTGTGACCGCTGTAGCCGGGACTACGTAAACATTCCTCTAACTTCTGGAAGCTAGTTTAAAACAAATGGAAATTTGTTCTTCCTCTTCTTACGTTTAACGTTGGTTTTTATTTACCTTTTGGGAAGTCAAGTTTATGGAATACTTTGTCTTAATATTTTCTTTCGGTTTTGTATTTCATCATCACACAAGAAGCATGCATCCCACGTAATGCAGGATCATTTATTCTTTTATTCGTCTGACTGAGGGAATGATAATATTTTATTTAAACTTTTGGGGCCAAGACTTTAAATATGGATGTCATAACATGGTGACTTTTTTCTCCATCGTCGTAATTTTAAAGTCTCGGGATAAAATCTTTAACATTGTATGAAGTGCCCTGAGCGATTGTTGAATAGTTGCGGGGTTCATATTCGTAATATTTTAATGTTGATTTTGTGATTTAAATTTTGATGATTAATTTTTGTTAGTTGAATGCGAAAATTCTGTCGAACTAGTTCATGTCGGCGGCAGTACCGGTATCATAGAATCTGAGAATTCTTCATTCAATCTCATTTCTAGGTTTTACTCTTAGGGAAATTGCAGCTGTAGATGTGCAGTTCATCTGCCGTCGACATGAACTGGTGCAACCGTAAATTCAGTTTAATTTAATACAACTTAAACCATTAATAGTGTTGATATTGTGACAGCCGATTTTTATAACGCTGCTGAACTTTGGTATATTCAGTTTGGTTCTAGGTTTGATTCTGCTCGCCTAAATTCTAAAATGAATGGTCAAGTGCGCCACTCTTCCCCAGGATGGAGGCTAACATTTATACCTTCCATTTTCCACTTAAAATAATTAACTTCAATAGCACTGGTACAATGTACATGTATTTATTACTTTTTTGGACCAAATTTATCAAAATCGGAGACAAACATGACTTTCGCCGATGTTAAACATATAAGTATAACTAGAAGACGAATAAATGAACCGAACCTAAGTTCAACATTGTGAAAAAACATTGTCCAGACCAAGAGGAATAACTCAACTGTACTAAAGAGTTTGGCTTTTGTGAAATGAATGCCGTAATATTTATCCAAATATTAATGAGAATTTAAGTGTTTGAAAAAACTCTTGTCTTCGTTGTTGCTCAAATTACCATATTAGGGGTCGTCCACATATTAGTATTACGTAATCAGCCGGGGGTTGTAGGTTTATAACCTACCAAGACCAGGGACAAAAGGATATCGCGGCATGTACGGAATCGCGATTTTTCCAATTCGCCGCGACAAATCGCGATATTCCAGGTTTGCCGCGACAAGTCACGATTTTCTCATATCCTCGCGACAAATCGCATTTTGTCAGTTCCCCGCGGCAAATTGCACATTTTCCTTCAAATCTTAGGACCAAATTCGCGCATTTTCCTTTATAAATCTGAGGACCAAATTTGCGTTTTTTCCTTAAAATCTGCGGGCCAAATGTCACGTTTTAATTTCTATGAAACCAATCACATTTCCAGCCTTCCGTGAGTTCCGAATGTAGGTACGGACTTCTATTCAGAAAACCGAAAAAAATATTCTCTACTCATAACTGTCAGTGTCACCAAGATGTATTACTACTACTAGGTCGAACGGAAAAATTAGGTCTCACGCAGGAATTAGGTCTCAAGCAGGCGCGGCTTTTAAGTGTATTTATATATGTCACACGCCTGCATGAGACCTAATCCCAAGGTCCATGAAATATGAACAAAAGAAGTTTCCAGAAAAATTTTGACTTAAAAAATGGTCGCTCCAAGTCATTCTCAAAACGATTACGTACCTCTGAAGGCAGAGCTCCCGCTTTTGAGCTCATATTACGAAGGGGAGGTTTGCCTTCCGAGATCGCATTACAAGGGTGGCACTTACCTGGGGACCTCAGGCTATCATGTTCATAAACAATAAAGATTAGGCGGAATGACAGGCTGAGCGCGGCCGGTAAGGGTGGCACTCGAGTCCAAAATCGTGTATCGACTAATATAAGGGTATATTTTAATATAAAAGTATGTTTGTCGACATGATGATGATCATACTATACGTTGTTTGACTATGACCCGCGCACGAGTTTGTAGGTTTACAACCTACCAAGACGCGCGCGCCGAGTTGGACTCGTCGACGGTCCAATACATGGAACAGATATTTTACGAGTATCACCCGTTAAGCTTGATTCACGATGTCAAGCCTTCGCAGCTCGGTGAGGCACAGTGGTGCATCTCGCCGATCTGCGAAAAGAATTATTTGATGCAGCGCGGCGCGACCCAGTAGTGCATCGCGCTTGCTCTATCCAGAGCCCTTGCGCTTGCAGTAGCGCGCGCCCGCCTCACGGGCCCGAAGTGGCGCGAAAGCACATGGTTAGGTGAACATCGCGCTACACACTACATGCAACCGTTAAGCACGAGTGTGGAGTGCGCGGCTCCCCCTGTATCGTAGAAACGCTTAGTTTTTAATAAAAAGACAATGAGGGTCACAACGTGATACAAGTAGGCAGTGCGCCATCAACCGTAAGACGCGCGCGCTGACCATTGAATGGTTTTTAGCTCTTATTTCGGCCAGCACATTATTTCGGAAACATTCAAAAAGTTATAATACTTCCCATGCAACAATTTTGTTGAAATTTGGTCAGCGTACGTAAACACTTATGTTCTACTGAACCTAAATTAGTTTAAGAGCAATTTCGATGGTCAGAATTTGAGTTATCAACGAATTTATACCTATTTTTTCATTTCTAGACCTTTTAATCAAGGCCAATCTCTCACAACTAAATTAGGTTCAGTAGTTAAGTATGATTGGAAGGTTCTGACAAATTTTCAGCATGATTTATGTTCAGGAACCGAAGATATGATAAAATAATACGACAAAAATTAACGAATTTGGTCGAATTACGCGAGTTTTACACCTAATTTTGCTCCAAAAGCCGCGCACCATCAAATATGGCACGTAGGCAAAACTCACTGATCATCCCAAAAAAATTTGACAAATTTGGTACTGTGAAAATTCTCACAGTCTCTAAAAAACAATGGTACAAAAATTTTGAAAATCCGAGCAAGTTTATTTTTATCGTGCACCCCCTAATATAAGGGTATTTGACCATTGTTAAACTTAATGGTTTACCTGGGGACCTCAGGCTATTATATCATGTTCATAAACATATAAAAATAGTGATTAGGCGGAATGACAGGCTGAGCGCGGCCCAGTAATTGATGGTCTGACATGAACAAAAGTATAAGTTTCCAGAAATAATCTATAATTCTGGGCAGAACCTCAAAATTATTATAGAGGGTCTGCTTTTTGGAAATAATCTATTTCATGAACATTTCACAAACAAAGCGTTCATCAACAGCTTATAGTTATATGTTATAAATATATCATAGTTATTATGATGACGAAGTACCCAATTAGGGCTACTAGTACTACATGCCAAACACAAGGATATTTCGTATTCGGATCATATGCTTACCTGAGGACCCCAGGCTATTATGTTCATTAACATAATAAAGATTTGGCGGAATGACAGGCTGAGCGCGGCCCAGTAAATCATATGCCTGCATTACTGTCTAGTCGCAAGACATGGTCGCACAACCTATGACCGAGTGATAAGTAATGTTAAATCAAAACGAGCCGATGAGCTCCACTTTTTGTCAAATTGGCTTTTGAATTACGGCCCAATCATGAAGTAAAACAGTATAAGTTGTATTTTAACAAAAATACAGCTAATTCAAGCTCTTGAAAGTTGTAGGTTTAGAGGATCAATACGGCTGCTTTCATTCTTAAAAGTCTTAAGTTTGAACGGCCAAAGTACCCTACTCGGCGTCAGTCAGCTGCATGAATAGGCACGTGTTCGTATAATACGAGCGTGCTAAATAAGTCTACACTTTCAGATTTTTTCTAACCAACATATAATTCGATGTATTTTGAACACCACCACCCCTCCCCCTCACATGACTTAGGGTATAAATGCTTCCCTGAGGAGTATAAACGGGCAAACAACTGTTTTGGTCACGTGATTGCTCTATCCAGAGCCTTCACATAGCCATGTTTATACGCGTACTGCGGTCGCGTCGCGCACTACTGCAACTGTAATTGCGAGAGGGCTCTGGTTAGAGCAACTAAAATGACTCGTCCAGATCCATGTCCAGTCTTAAGCTTCAATTGGACATAATTCACTAGCTGAAATTATAGCTCTGAATTGTCGGATTAAAATCTGTGAATCTGCAATCTGGCCTCCAGCTCGCCATTTTTGAGATTCAAGCAAATCAAGGATATCAAAACAGTGTAGGAAGTTCAGCTTGTCAAAATAATGGTGGAAATTATTTCATAGGCCCTAAAATGACTCGTCCAGATCCAGTCTTAGCCTGAGGATATCCAGCAACTGCGTAGATCTTTTGTTCGGCAGAATCCCGTCGCGTAGGAAATACTTAAATTGGCCCTACAAGTACATTTACATTTACAAAGACAATGGCTCTTCCAGATCCAGTCTTAACCTTAAATTAGACACAACTCGTTTGCTGAATACATTCCGACACTTTTCTGAGAAGGCTGCAATTAAACTTAATTGTTAATTGTATGGTTGACCTCCAGCTGGCTGTTTTTGAAATTTCAGATAATTGAGGATATTCAGGGGCTGTAAAATATTCTGTTGGATAGATTCCCGTTAAAAATATTTACATTGGCCCTAAAATGGCTTTTCCAGAGCTAGTCTCAACCCAGCAAACCTTACTGCACTGGCTGGCCGTGTTACTATAATAGAGGTGATTGCGTCTTCACAGCGAGTTCATCCTCGCGCTAAGGTTTATTGCACGCGTGAAACATTCCAATGTTCAAGCAGCTAGCACGTGACACAATTCAGCCAATCATAGTACAGAAATCCGCAAAGTTAAAGTTGCAAACTTTTGATCAGCCCAAAATGAGACTTTTCTGGAGATTTTGAGATAACTCAAAATTTACAATGTCCCTAATTTTCCTCCTGAGGAGGAAACGTTACTTTTACAAGACGAACATTTTGCAAAAACCAGAATTCGCTATATATCTCTTTTACTTTCGAAGTTAGGCCCCAGCCAGTAAGGTTTCCTGGGTAAGGTCCGATAAGGTATCCGCTACCGCCATAAGTATAACAAAGGAAAGCGTTTTATACTACTATTAATTATTATGTGCTATTCAGTTATATTGTGAAAAATCCATAATAATATATAATATGACTTTTTTCACATGAATACACATGCATAAAACTATTTCCGGTCCATAACACAATTCTAGGAATTAGATTGCGTGCTGAAATTAGAAATTAGGAAGTCCTTTGGTTTGAGATTTTATGACTGCAGATCTAAACTTTCCCTTATAATTTCTTGTGTGTTCTGAAATTGAAGACACACTAACTGCCTAGTGCCTTCACTTCATTAGTTCATTACATTAATATTGATACCGATAGTGACATAGTGTATTATGTTTACTTCGTTATATTGATAGTTGCATGTATTTTCTAGTCGGTATTGACAGTTGCAATATGAATAAAGATAACTATAACATTAACAACAGTATTTGTTGATCCTAGCGACCTAATTAACAGTGACGCAATGCCAGATCCATTAACTATTACTTACACTCATCGTCTTTGACATGACCGGTTAAAGCGACGTTCGTTTTCAAAATTACGTTATTTTCGCTTTGTTGTTTGCAGACCAAGATCAAAGATCGCTATTTAAACGGTATACCTCGAGATAAACAGCTTAACTTTAAGTGCCTTAAATCCACCTTTTTGACAATTGTCTGTGAAGTGTGGCTTTTAGTTTCGACGCCAAAGCTGTTTAATAAAAGAAACCTGTCATAATTATTTTGAGGAATGTACTGGGTAAGAATTTTATTTATTAATTGTTTCTAACTTTTCTTCAATTTATATAACATGAACGACATGCTTATCAGTTATCACAGTGCTGGCAGGCACGACAGCCGACTCACTATACTATTTACCCCCTATACTGTTGCTATTATACCCCCTTTAATGTTTTTCCAGGCATTAAGACTCATCGAAAGTAGTTCAGCAGCAGGCATATTTTAAAGTTTTAAGTTCAAAACATTCTAATTCAATGTCAAAGATGACAGGAATAAGAAATGGTTATGTGGAGGATTTTAACCATCAATTAAACCAGTTACCAACGGCCGATTTAAAAAACATTTCATCATAGTTTTGTCGAAACTATACCGAAAAAACCAGTCCCATAACTCTTAGGGGTCGTTCACATATTACGTAATCAGCTGAGGGAGGGGGGGGGGTTTCCGAATGATTACGCAAGTGTAATTTTGACACAATAGCTACGTGTAAAACTGATTACGGAGTGGGGGGGGGGGGGGTCAAAATTTTCAAAAAAATGATTACGTAATATGTGAACGACCCCTTACCGTTTTCTTGATTAAACCGTTCGGAAATGCACACACACATACACACATACACTCATACACACGGATTTTTTGGGATTATTAGTATAGATATGATTATAAAGTTGCACACGTTGAATACCCAAATAGATGAGGAATATTTTCTCCAAACTCTAACATTCCAGCTCGTACTGTGGACTTTTCTGGGCGGAGTTGTATCAGGAAGTGAAAGAGGTTACTCTCCGAGAGGTTACTCTCCGAGAGGGATACAGCCTCGTATTTACAATGGAGATGATGCCGTTATTGGGGAGTTTCCATTCATGGTTAGTCCGCGTACAAGACGTGTTAGTGTAAGCATTACTGCAATAACATTACAGTATAACTGTGTTGATACTTGATATAATAATAAATAGCGGTTACTTATTGTACTAATTAATTTTATACTAAGTAATTATACTTATTGCACTAATTATACTTATCATTGTTACTGTCACCTCCAGTAACATATTATACCTACCTGTTTAAAGGCTCAAGTGCTAGCAGACATAGCATTTAATGAGGAAGGAGTAATGACACAGAATCTGTGCGGAGGAAGTATCCTAGCAACCAACATAATACTGACTGCTGCTCACTGTGTAGTAAGAGACGTGTCAGGACTGGGATGGGAGGAGTCGCAGGACCAGATTTACCATCCTGTACAGGTATTATACATAGCCGTATAATTATACAGGTAATATTCAGAACCCTTCTCGGGATCATATTGATCTACCATAGGAAAAAATAGGAAATATATTGTTAGGAGACAAATTGAGTGATAAGAATAGGGGTTCTTCCTATCTTGTTATCTTGTTTGTTTGTTTGTTTGTTTATAGAACCCGTCCCCAATCTCCTATTGGAAAATGACTAAACTCAATTCTGGGTGTGAATACGGGTGGTACCTGCAAGTGTATTCATTAAGCATTTAGAGTTTTGTAAATAAACAAAGTTCTGTAAATCTTATCTTATGTACAATAGGGGTTCTTCTTATTTTGTTTTCTTACACAGACTGTAAAGTTGTCTCACACAGTTAGGTGTGTGGACGGGAGATCTTGATAATTTTGACACTGATAACCAACAATTTGGCTCCGTCAAAGCCATCATTGTTCATGAGGATTATGATTCTTACAGGTAGGAAGTTATGTAACATTTTTTGGGTATGCTCTTCCGCATTAATTTTGTGATTGAAAGAAGCATCTTTCTAATTAACTTATCAATTATGTTCTGAATAAAACAAGACAAGGCGACTGTTTTAATAATAATTATGAACATATACAGGCAAAATTTTAAACCAACATTAAATCCCCAGAGTAGTGAACGACATAGCAGTGATCGTTCTTGAAAATGACCTCCTATTTGACAAGTATACAGCAGCTGTGTCTCTTCCTAAGGAGGAAGACATGCTTTACACGGAGGGTAGCCTAGTTACTGTGGTAGGGTGGGGTCTTACGGAGGAGGAACATACTTCGCACGTGCTTCAGGTAGGGTATACACATGTATAATACACATGTATATATATAATGTATATCAATAATAAGACCTGTAGGCCGCTGTATTACACATAACTTTCCAGGCTAATTTGGGCGCACAGTAAGATTCTTGGTTAAATTCGTTTCAAGTTTTGGTCTGAACTCTAAATTCATGGCTTCAAACTTTTTGGGTGTCCCAATGTTCTCAGGCTTTGTCACTACTTGCTTTCAAGATCGAAAGTCGAAACAGATAACTCGGAGCTGGAGAACTTAGAGCCGATAGAGTGATTAAATTACGTTAGGTATCACTATCAACTTACTTCTAACAAATTTCCGATTGGTTTTGTATCCCGGTCATGGGTAAACTAGTGGAGATGTTGTACTTGTCATGACAATGGACTAAGCGACACTAAAATTATTTTATTGACGCTTTCATTTCTATTTTCCGAGTTTAAACAGTGTCGCAGTGTAACTCCACTGGTACATTTCATTTTACCAGTAGAAAAATGTAGAGAGTGTTATTGATTCTTACCTGTCAAACAAATGAAACGGCCTGTGATTTAACACACCGTTTATTATAGACTATGTTCATTGTTCAAGAATACAATAGCTTTTGTGTTTATACCGTCACGGTAAAAAGTCGTGGGAGTGATGCATGGTTCCAGCTGGCCGCACCCTTTTTTGTTGTTTGTTGTATAAAATAGGCTTTCAGAAGAAATGAAACTGTGAAATTATAAGTGTTTAAAAAGAATATAACAATGAAATGGTTGTTCCAAAACTTCTCAGAAGCTGATTTATTGACTTCACAGAAGCTGAACTACGAAGTGAGGTCACGTGAGCAGTGTACGGGAAGTTACGGAGACCAGTTTGTGCCTGGTATGATGTGTACAGGGATCAAACCTATGGAGAAACACAGTGCTATTGGAGATTCTGGTTAGTGGAGTGTTGGTATCGCTTGTCGGGATTCTTGTAATCTTGAGATTTAATTTTATTATTGTAAGTGATACAAATTAATCTGTGTTGAGTTAGATTGTTTGTTCAAACATTTTACGGCCAGGTAGCGCAGTTGGTTAGAACGCCAGCCTTACAATCGTTAGGTTGCGAGTTCGAATCCCACTGTCTGCCTGGTCTTGCTACACGTTGTATACCTCTCGTGCACGGCCGGCAATCAAAAGGGGTTGCAGAGTGTGTCAAGCCTGGTCGTGGGGTGAGCGTCGTCGATCCTGAGTGGTCTATGCAGCCCCCCGGTCTACTCAGCCGAATACCCGAGAAATAGGGTGTGAGGGTTAAATGAGGAGCTGCACATTGCAGCAAAGTTTTGGGCGAAGAAAGTATGGTACACACTACCTTAACCGTCACTGGCCAAAAAAATCCTTCGGCTTCCTGTAATTGGCTGGTTGCACTTGTGTAACAATGTGGCTGTTGGAATACACCGAAGTAAAATAAGTGTCTTGATAAAACCAATTGATGAAGTAAAATTATGGTTTCCCTCGTACAGGTGGACCTCTAATCACAAAAGTTAAAGACAAATGGGTTCAGTTAGGAATAGTAAGTTGGGGAGCAGAGGATCCTGACGAGAGTTCCTTTGATGTGAACACTGACGTTTCTTACTTCAAATCCTGGATACAGTCGGTTCTGAACAAGTTAGCTACTATATAATTACACTGGTAGTTGAGTAGACGTTCACATCTACTGGTTGAATCGGTTATTGCTAACAATGTATTCATAATTTTGTTTCCTTTGCTTGAATTGAAGTAGTACCGTACCCATAAAAGATAATTCAACACTTTCATAATCTTGCAGTTTTATCATTTCAGAGTAAACACCAAACAAGGACAAAAGTACATTTCGGAGGACGAATCAAAAAACCTTCTGCTAACCAACTTACCAAACTACACGTTCAAGCGAATAACTTTTTATCCAAAAGATCGTTATTCAAAATATACTAGAATTCGTGAGTTGCACGATCATCTAAACTTGCACAAGTTCAAAATGTTGGTACCATTATAAGTATCACAGATTATAGTAAGACCACATTGGATCCAACTGATCACCAGCTAGATTGCGTGTGTAAATTCTTTTAAAAGTTAAGAATGCACGCGCTCCAGTACGTGGTTTGGGAGATTTAGTATTTACCACAGTTATAATATCCCCAATAATAATGTCCTAATTATTGTAATTTTCAAATCGCGCAAGTGTGTTTATAACTGGGCAGTGCTCAGCCTGTCAATCCGCCATATCTTTAATGTTTATTTATAAACACTGAGCCTGGGATCGCCAGGTATAAAACTAAGAAAATGTACTTGTTGCTCTATCGTAAATCCGCTAGGTTCTGACTTCTGAACCACCGCTTTCAGGTATAAAAGATTCCTATTTGAATGCGAACAGCTTCATTACGATCTATGATGGCTCTCCACTTGACTACAACCAAATGCTGGCTCAGTGGACTGGTAATATCTCCCTTGAAACCGTCGTCGGGTTTGAAAATCAAGAACTGACAGTCATTATCATGACTGGAAAGGAAAGCAGAGACAATCATATCAACCTTACCTTCAACCAGGTCTTGTGAACATTTCACCAGCTTAAAAACTAACAATTTTATCTTTATTTAACGAATAACAATAAACAAATAACAAAGAGTAATTTTCTTTTCAGGTGAGGAACCCAGGTACAAGATACAAACTCCGGTGCTCTCTTGGATATTCCCGGTGTCTAGACAACTTTTACTGCATCCAAAACAAATCTTTCTGTGACGGAGTCGGGCAGTGTAAGTTGTTCGTTTCTCGCAAGAACTAAGCGGTGAAATAATTAAAATTCAAAGATAGACTCTTAAATGAAATGACTGGCGGCGTAGACTCTGTGGAATAGATTCTAGAATATGGTGTTCACCAGTAACATGAAATCATGAATAAATGAGATTGCTCAATATTCAATTATAACTTTTTGCAGGCAACGATGCAAGTGATGAGGTAAACGAAGTATGTGAAACTGTTACTCGCAAAAATGAAACTAATTATTCTACTTTTACTACTGACAATAAAGAAGTTGACACCTCAATTTCATCTGCTATTCGAATTAAATATATTAGCTTTTTTGTGATTGTATTAATAACCATATTTTGCTTTTACTTGCCATTTTAAATTGTGAAGTTTTTATTTTTTGCTTTTGTACATTTTTAATAAACATTTTGAATGATCTTTATATCATTAATTCAATCTTATAATGTTGTAAAAGTAATAAAATGTGAATCCTTGAACAGCATTGTGATATATTGTAACTGTAAGAACCTATAAAGAAAAGCGCAAAGCAAGCGTATATCATTTGCTATGTAGATTAAAAATCTAATACATAATAAGCCGTATTCATAAAAAGTTAAATTTGGCAATTGACATCAATACCAAATTCCAATTCTTTTTATGAATACCAACTACTTTCCCTTAGCAATTAATATCTTCCGGCGAGGAATAATTTTTTTCTAAGCATTGCCTAGCAAACATTTTTTCATGTGTTTCTATAAATCACCTTTTTTTCACGTTTCACGTCACTTCAATAATTTTTGGCATCAATTATTTTTTGATTTTTTATCCACCAATTAGCTAATTATCCAATTAAACAATAATTTTATAAAAATGTTGTTGAAGAGAAAGTTTTTCCTCGCCAAAAGATAAACCGGAACCTTTTGGGATCATTACAACCGGAGATATATCAAAATTAGCAACTACCTAGCAATAACTTAGAATTAGCCATTACTATTAGCAAAAGGTAGTTGCTATTCATAAAATGTAAAAGAAAACTCTAAATTTGGTATTTATGAATACCAAATATTTTTAACTTTTAAAAAAAATACGACTTAATAGATTCTTAATACTTTAATACTTAGATTCAAACAGAAATAATTTACATTCAAGACTCAAAGTCAACCATCGTAATTTTCAGAAGCACGATAATACTGTTGAAATCCCGAATCAATTAAAAAAGATTCGCATCGGAATACATAAGTGCCAATCCAAGAAATAGTTATCACTTGGAAACAAATTGGAAAAAACGTGTAAAAACTATAGTCAACTAATGACAGTGACGTTCTCACTACGTGTGACCTGTCATTGCACCCAATATCAACAATACATGTGACATATTATTCCATTTAGCCTGAAGTAGTGCCAACTACCTTATAGTAGTATAAACATAATTACAATACAATTATATTTATAAACATAATTACAATACAATTATATTTATAAACATAATTACAATACAATTATATTTATAAACATTATAATGCACGTGCACTGATCGCCACTCACCTAGCAGCAAAAGGATCACTCGCACATGCGCGTGTTTTTTCATTGTACTATAATTAGGTTTATACCACGTTTAACAGACTGAGTAAAACATAAAAACATATTCCGAGGGAGTGTAAGAAAATCTAAAGAATTCATCACTTAATCCCTGTGGCGAGTGAATGTAGTAAAGTCAAAGATGCATTTTTATTGCAATAATATTAATAACCTGCACAACTACAAGTACAAGACATTACTATTTGAGCGTCAAAATACGTGGTTGCTCTGCCTTTCCTTCGAACTAATTATAAATAAGAACTTAGCACGTAACATTTAGTCCAATTGTCTAAACGCAGCAAAAAATTTCTTCCGCAAATATTCCCTAAATTAGAGCGTCAAAATTTCACGTTTGTTTTCAGAATTGCGGACATCAATGCACGAATAAAAAATTGCAAAATTCTATTTAGAAAAATATTTTTTTGTATATCACAGTTGATATATATGAGCTTTGCTGAAACTGTAACACTTCGATCCATATAATTAATTAACCTGGATTATTGTCACCTCTGTTAAGTCACAATACGGATCTGTCCTTGGAGACAAGTGTTTCCTTCTCGTTTCAAGGCTCTTTTACATCTGACTTGTCTTCCTAATCTGTCGTGTGACATGGCTATTCCTCCATTGCGTGTAATAGATATGCTGTTCGTGCAGTTAAACACATTTTAACCGTTTACATCTTTTCCCTCTCGTAAACAAAACTAAATTTGGATACAATGATGGTCATCGGCAGGGCCAGGAAGACGATTCCGAGGGTGAGGACGAATCCACCGAAGAGCTTACCACCTACACTCAATGGATACATGTCACCATATCCCACGGTCGTAATGGTAACAATCACCCACCAACAACTCTTCATAATGGAATCAAAATCTGGGTTGGCGGTAGCCTCGATGTAGTACATAATACTTCCGAATGTGATGACAAAAATAAAGAGCAAGCACATAAGAAGAATAAGCTCCCGTTTGGCGTTGCTCACAGCCTTCATGATGATTAAAAGATCTCGGGAGTGTCTTACAAACTTGAATATTCGCACGATCCTGAAGATTCGGCAGACCCTCAGAACGACGTAGTGCTGCTTATTATCCTCACCCGCTATGTCGCTATCGGTATTGTCATCCACCATTAAATTGACATAAAAAGGCAGAATAGATAGAATGTCCAACACGTTGAACAGATTTTTCCAGAAGTCCAGGAGGCTCGGCCAGGTTACAAGCCGGACCATAAAGTCAGTGGTGAAGAATCCCATGATTATGCAGTTAACGACAAACAGAGGTTTGTAGTAGGAAGACGTTTTTTTCTTGTTCGTGAAATGATCTTCATACGTCTTTTCACTTTCAAGAACCATAAATGCTATAGATATACAGATGAAAAGTATATCAAAACCATGCCAAACAGCAGCTAAGGAGGACGATCTTGGGTCTTGTAAGAAATTGTGAACCTTCATCCTGCAAGAATTAACACAATCTATCCCATCTGACCCACCTCCCTCGGGGATGAACACTGCCACTTCACGTTTTTTCTTTATACCAAAAAACTCCTTCTCTTTTGCATACACGTCCGGATCAACGTTTAACGGTGGCGCTTCCTTTCCAGTTTGATAGTAGTGAAGTATGGAATCGAAGCACGGTTTGTGTCTGTTGAAGAAGTAGGCACCCAGTTTCTCGGAGTAGTACTGTTTGCGGCGCTCCTCGTTACCGAGAAGTGTGTTTGGGAACATATTGAGACAAGTGTAACTGGTGATATACATCGTGCCTGATACGTTGATGTTCACCTGAAGTTAATCATAATTATTGATGTAATAGCAATGTTAATTGTTATGAGCAAAAACAATTGTATTTGCACGAATTTAAACTCCTCAGCACCATCACAAAAATGTCTTAAAAAAAACGCTGTTTTGACTTTCTGTTTGTTCCCAACACAGTTTGAATATGTGTGTGAAATTTAATGTATTTTAACAAAGTATGTCTACAAGACTTATGTCCTACAACTAACATGGCTCGAAATTTTGATTAACTAACAAATTTTATTTGCATTCAAATCCCCCTCCCAATGTTGTTTACTTTATCGATGTATCCGATGTTAATCCCACGCTAAACTGGTACTACCAGTGTGATTTCCTGTGTATCTACCACTACCAGTGGTAGTGGTAGATACACAGGAAATCACACAGAAATAACCCGCAGGAGAACTTAGTTTAACACAAGTCGCAAAATGAAAACTAACCAATGAAAACAATTTCAAACTTTGCAAACTAACCAGATCATCATCAGGAACGCACTGCTCTTTCACTTCATCGTTCTTTTCCGGATCGTACTCTTTATCCGAGTTTCTGAAATAACAAATATTTAAGGATTCTTAGTTATTTGTTGATTTTGATGTTATACTAAAAGTAAAACAGTAAAACTGTTCGAAACTGTTCAACCCAACTGACCTCATAGAAAGTTTAGTAACTATCTAGCGCACCATTTCCACACACAAAAAATTGTTTTTGAGGATTCAAATTTTTGTAATCGAGCATTTCCGGGTCAAAGTGCATTTTTCGAAATTATGGTTTCCCTCGTACAGGTGGACCTCTCATCACGATCAAAGTTAAGACAAATGGGTTCAGTTAGGAATAGTAAGCAGAGGATCCTGACGAGAATTCCTTTGATGTGAACACTGACGTTTCTTACTTCAAATCCTGGATACAGTCGGTTCTGAACAAGTTATAAGCTATTATATAATTACACTGGTAGTGGTAGTTGAGTATACGTTCACATTTACTGGTTGAATTGGTTATTGCTAACAATGTATTCAGAATTTTGTTTCTTATACTTGGATTGAAGTATAGAATATATTATAGTACCGTACTCATAAAAGATTATTCAACACTTTCATAATCTTGCAGCAGTTTTATCATTTCAGAGTAAACACCAAACAAGGACAAAAGTACATTTCAGAGGACGAATCAAAAAACCTTCTGCTAACCAACTTACTAAACTACACGTTCAAGTGAATAACTTTTTATCCAATAGATCGTTATTCAAAATATACCAGAATTCGTGAGTTGCACAATCATCTTAACTTGCACAAGTTCAAAAAGTTGGTACCATTATCACAGATTATAGTAAGACCACATTGGATCCAACTGATCAATATCATATTGTCAATTGAACCTGATCCACCAGCTAGATTGCGTGTGTAAATCTATACTATAATTTAAACTTGACGAAATTTCCCCGGCAACGGGGACATAGAAGAAAAAACACCGAAAATCGACCTCAAAATGACCCTCTGGTGAAATCAAACCCAGCTCGCAAATGGAGTTGAAACCTCGCCATTTTTAGCAGGGTTGTAGAAAAAGGATAGGAATAGGCTATAGCATTTTTAGAATTTTGATTTAGGCTTTAGATTTTTTATAATTAACGTCGGAAGTGAGGTAAAATAACCGTTAGAATAATGTCGTTATTTTAGCAAAGGTTTACTGCGCTGTTGCGTAGCAACGTTAAAATGCACGTGCGCGAGCAAAAACATCTTAACTACGCGCGTTGTTATGCTGTATGCTACGTCATAATTTCAAATTCGTGCGCGGCTCCCCCTGTATCGTCGAAGACACTATAGACACTATAGTGAAGCGACCGTGGGGGTCACCACGTGATACAACAGCTGATCAGGCGCGTTTATAACTGGGTAGCGCTCAGCCTGTCAATCTGCCATATTTTTAACGTTTGTTTATAAACACCGAGCCTGGGATTGCCAGGTAAAACTAAAAAAATGTATTTGTTGCTCTTTCCTAAATCCGCTAGGTTCTGACTTCCGAACCACCGCTTTCAGGTATAAAATATTCATATTTGAATGCGAACAGCTTCATTACGGGATAATGATTAATCACTCTACACTCGACTGTCACGTGACTTTTTCAACCCGTTCTCTAGCTGGTCCTGTACGACTATTCGAAACCCTAACCCTCTAATCTGATCCCGACCCTAACCCTTACCCAATCCTTAGCAAAAGCATATGCTGAAACCCTAACCCTAACGAGAAATTAGACTAACTTCCTTATACGGTCATATCACGTGATCGAGACAGTTTTTCGCCAATATCTCGTCAGGGGAGCATTTTGACCCTATGTCATGGGGGGTGATTCGGAATCAACGTCCGAAAATACATCGATTGAAGTTGATTACAACTATTGGGGGTCCCTTTAGAACAATCTCGAAGATCGACTGTAGAGTGATTTATATTTATAACTATAAGCACGCTCGTTCATTACGATTTATGATGGCACTCCACCTGACTCATGACTACAACCAAATCGCTCCCAGTCCCACTAAATCACTCGCCCAAATTTTAATTTTAAGAAAATTCTTGTGTTAAGGCCCTGAGGATGTAACAGCGATCTTGATCGGTGTATTTTTGGACGCTGATTCCGAATCAGCCCCCCCCCCCCACGACGTAGGGTAAAAATGCTTCCCTGGAGAGCTATGGGCAAAAAACTGTTTTTGTCACGTGACAGGCTAAGTTATAAGCCACTAGAAACCCGCCGCTAGTCGAAAGCTTTGTTCGAGGAAATTTTAAGCATCAGTTATGTTTTAATTTCTTTTCATCATATAGCCCCAAAACAATACTTTTTACCGCATCAAAAAATTTCAATCACAACCAAAGTTATAAATATATATAGGTATTTATCGGTCATCGCTAGTCAATGGTCAAACAATCCAACAAATATGCTTTAGTTCCCGAACCCTGCTTCACTGAAAATATATGAATTACACATTTGAATCATTTCGGTAAATGTCAGGTCCCTCATCGTCTCATTTGATAGATCTGTTCAAATTGAAGTTTTTACGTATGAAAGAATTGTGATAAATAAAAAAGGAAATTTGTGCTGAATGAAATTGGTAAAATGACATAATCTATCAAATGACTTTAGATCCTAAATCAAATAGGTTAATAAATGGATATTTACGTAGGTTGACAAAATGTTAATTCAAAATTATTATCATTATATGAAATTATTATATGAAAATTGATTGCTATGAAAATAAGTAATAGCTAGTTATGAAGACAATCCTTGAACACGGGATTCTTTGCAATATTGCCCCGACTTGACAGCACCAAGATATCCTTAGGATCGTGTGTTCTTGACAAAGCTTTGTTCGAGGAAATTTTAAAAATCAGTTATGTTTTAATTTCTCTTCATCATATAGCTCTGTTATACTGTAGACATAATGGAATTTATCTAACAATGGCGACAGCGTTGTTAGTATTCGGATTCCCAAAACGATACTTTTTACCGCATCAAAAAATACCAATCACAACCAAAGTTATGAATATAAGTCATAGCGTGAGCGTAAATGTGAGCTAGTTTTGAAATTATGACGTAGCATACAGCATAACAACGCGCGTAGTTAAGATGTTTTTGCTCGCGCACGTGCATTTTAACGTTGCTACGCAACAGCGCAGTAAACCTTTGCTAAAATAACGACATTATTCTAACGGTTATTTTACCTCACTTCCGACGTTAATTATAAAAAATCTAAAGCCTAAATCAAAATTCTAAGAATGCTATAGCCTATTCCTATCCTTTTTCTACAACCCTGCTAAAAATGGCGAGGTTTCAACTCCATTTGCGAGCTGGGTTTGATTTCACCAGAGGGTCATTTTGAGGTCGATTTTCGGTGTTTTTTCTTCTATGTCCCCGTTGCCGGGGAAATTTCGTCAAGTTTAAATTATAGTATAGATAAACACGAATTCGATTGTTTAGGGCTCGGGTTACCGTTAGGGTTAGGGTTGTGGTTAGGGTTTTGGATAGCTTCGGGGTTATGGTTAGGGTTAGGGTTGGGAATTGGGATTAAGGTTTATGTAAAACCGTTTTGTTCGGCTGCAAAACTATAAAACCCAAAGTCATGTGATAATTTTTGGGCGAACGAATTAGTAAGAGCCCAACCATATGCTGGCTCAGTGGACTGGTAATATCTCCCTTGAAGTTGAAACCGTCGTTGGGTTTAAAAATAAACATGATCTGGCTGTCATTATCATGATGACTGGAAAGGAAAGCAGAGACAATAATATCAACCTTAGGCTTACCTTCAACCAGGTCTTGTTAACATTTCACCAGCTTAAAAACTAATAATTTTATTTTTATTCAACAAATAACACTTGCATAGACAATTGATCATCTTTTTTGAAAACATTTAAGAATAAGATAACAACCATTATATTTCCTATCTTGATGTTTCCTATTTTGGTATTCATGCAGTGCAGCGCAGGCTATGCAGGTGGCAGTTTGTTACTGCCACCAACTTGTACTTCTGCCAACATTGGTTGAATATGTTGGTGACAGTTGCAGTGCAACACTATATTTAATTGTGCGTCCTCCCTTATAATTATATGTCATATGTTGTACAAGTAAAATATATGAATTATACCAAGTTATTTGAAGTTCATAGAGTTAACTTCTCAAACAAAGAGTAATTTTCTTTTCAGGTGAGGAACCCAGGTACAAAATACAAACTCCGATGCTCTCTTGGATATTCCCGGTGTCTAGACAACTTTTACTGCATCCAAAACAAATCTTTCTGTGACGGAGTCGGGCAGTGTAAGTTGTTCGTTCGTCGCAAAAGCTAAGCGGTGAAATAATTAAATTCAAAGATAGACTCCTAAATGAAATGAATGGCGGCGTAGACTCTGTGGAATAGATTCTAGAATATGGCGTTCACCAGTAACATGAAATCATGAATAAATGAGATTGCTCAATATTCAATTATAACTTTTTGCAGGCAACGATGCAAGTGATGAAGTAATAACGAAGTATGTGAAACTGTTACTCGCAAAATTGAAAATTATTATTCTACTTTTACTACTGACAATAAAGAAGTTGATACCTCAATTTCATATGCTATTCGAATAAAATATATCAGCTTTTTTGTAATTGTATTATTATTAATAACCATATTTTGCTTTTACTTGCCATTTTAAATTGTGAAGTTTTTATTTTTTGGCTTTTGTACATTTTTAATAAACATTTTGAATGATCTTTATATCATTAATTCAATCTTATAATGTTTGAACTGGCTGGGTGGCCTAGTGGTTAGAGCTTCCGCCTTCTGTACAGAAGGTTCAGGGTTCGAATCCCAGTTTCACTCAGTCTAGGGAGTAGCTAAGGATTCATTGGATCTATGCGATCTCCTCGGTCGACTCAGCCGAATGATAGGAAACTTGATTGAGGGTTAAATGAGGAGGGGTGCCTGTGCCAAAAGATCAAGAATCTTAGGATACTCCTTCAGAACATCTACAATGTAGTGTACTGTAAAACAAGGGCGGTCGAACTATTCGATGACCCTGTAGAGGAATCTACGAACTTTACAAATTACAAATTATAATTACAAGTAATAAAATGTGAATCCTTAAACAGCATTGTGATATAATGTAACTGTAAGAACCTATAAAGAAAAGCAAGCGTATATCATTTATTATGTAGGTGTTTAAAAATCTAATACATAATAAGCTGTATTTATAAAAAGTTTAACAAATTTGGCACTCATGAATACCAAATTTCAAAGTTTCTACAAATCGCTTTTTTCACGTTTCACGTCATTTCAATCATTTGTAGTTGCTATTCATAAAATGTAAAAGATACTCTAAATTTGGTATTTATGAATACCACATTTTTTCAACTTTTTAAAAATACGAATTAATAGATTCTTAATACTTAAGCTTGAAACAGAAATAATTTACGTTCAAGACTTAAACTTAACCCTCGTAATTTTCAGATGCACGATAATACTGTTGAATTCCCGAATCAATTAAATAAGATTCGCATCGGAATACATAAGTGCGGAGTGCCAATCCAAGAAATAGTAATTATTTGGAAACAATTGGAAAAAACGTGTAAAAACTATAGTCAACTAATGACAGTGACGTTCTCACAACGTGTGACCTGTCATTGCACCCAATATCAACAATACATGTGACATATTATTCCATTTAGCCTGAAGTAGTGCCAACTACCTTATAGTAGTATAAACATAATTACAATACAATTATATTTATAAACATTACAATGCACGTGCACTCGCCACTCACCTAGCAGCAAAAGGATCACACGCACATGCGCGTGCCTTTTCATTGTACTCTAATTAGGTTTATACCACGTTTAACAGACTGAGTAAAACATAAAAACATATTCCGAAGGAGTGTAAGAAAATCTAAAGAATTCATCACTTAATCCCTGTGGCGAGTGAATGTAGTAAAGATGCATTTTTATTGCAATAATTTCCTGCAAAACTACAAGACATTACTATATTTGAGCGTCAAAATACGTGGTCGCTCTGTCTTTCCTTCGAACTAATTATAAATAAGAACTTAGCACGTAACACTTAGTCCAATTGTCTAAACGCAGCAAAGCATTTCTTCCGCAAATATTCCCTAAATCACATCGTACAAATTTCACGCTTGCTTTCAGAATTGCGGACATCAATGCACGAATAAAAAATTGCAAAATTCTATATAGAAAATTATTTATTTGTATATCACAGTTGATATATATGAGCTTCGCTGAAACTGTAACACTTCGATTCTTATAATTAATTAACTTGGATTATTGTCACCTCTGTTGACGGATCTGTCCTTGGAGACAAGTTTTTCCTTCTCGTTTCAAGGCTCTTTTACATCTGACTTTTCTTCCTAATCTGTCGTGTGACATGGCTATTCCTCCATTGCGTGTTAAAGATATGCTGTTCGTGCAGTTAAACACATTTTAACCGTTTACATCTTTTCCCTCTCGTAAACAAAACTAAATTTGGATACAATGATGGTCATCGGCAGGGCCAGGAAGACGATTCCGAGGGTGAGGACGAATCCACCGAAGAGCTTACCACCTACACTCACTGGATACATGTCACCATATCCCACGGTCGTAATGGTAACAATCACCCACCAACAACTCTTCATAATGGAATTAAAATCTTCGTTGGCGTCAGCCTCGATGTAGTACATAATACTTCCGAATGTGATGACAAAAATAAAGAGCAAGCATATAAGAAGGATAAGCTCCCGTTTGGCGTTGCTCACAGCCTTCATGATGATTAAAAGATCTCGGGAGTGTCTTACAAACTTGAATATTCGCACGATCCTGAAGATTCGGCAGACCCTCAGAACGACGTAGTGCTGCTTATTATCCTCACCCGCTATGTCGCTATCGGTATTGTCATCCACCATTAAATTGACATAAAAAGGCAGAATAGATAGAATGTCCAACACGTTGAACAGATTTTTCCAGAAGTCCAGGAGGCTCGGCCAGGTTACAAGCCGGACCATAAAGTCAGTGGTGAAGAATCCCATGATTATGCAGTTAACGATAAACAGAGGTTTGTAGTAGGAAGACGTTTTTTTCTTGTTCGTGAAATGATCTTCATAGGCCTTTTCACTTTCAAGAACCATAATGCTATAGATATACAGATGAAAATTATATCAAAACCATGCCAAACAGCAGCTAAGGAGGACGATCTTGGGTCTTGTAAGAAATTGTGAACCTTCATCCTGCAAGAATTAACACAATCTATCCCATCTGACCCACCTCCTTCGGGGATGAACACTGCCACTTCACGTTCTTTCTTTATGCCAAAAAACTCCTTCTCTTTTGCATACACGTCCGGATCAACGTTTAACGGTGGCGCTTCCTTTCCAGTTTGATAGTAGTTAAGTATGGAATCGAAGCACGGTCTGTGTCTGTTGAAGAAGTAGGCATCCAGTTTCTCGGAGTAGTACTGTTTGCGGCGCTCCTCGTTACCGAGAAGTGTGTTTGGGAACATATTGAGACAAGTGTAACTGGTGATATACATCGTGCCTGATACGTTGATGTTCACCTGAAGTTAATCATCATTATTGATGTAATAGCAATGTTAATTGTTATGAGCAAAAACAATTGTATTTGTACGAATTTAAAATCCTCAGCACCATCACAAATATGTCTTTAAAAAAACGCTGTTTTGACTTTCTGTTTGTTCCCAACACAGTTTGAATATGTGTGTAACACTTTATGTATTTTAACAAAGTATGTCTACAAGACTTATGTTCTACAACTAACATGGCTCGAAAGTTTGATTAACTAACAAATTTTATTTGCATTCAAATCCCCCTCCCAATGTTGTTTACTTTATCGATGTATCCGATGTTAATCCCATGCTAAACTGGTAGTGGTAGATACACAGGAAATCACACAGAAATAACCCGCAGGAGAACTTAGTTTAACACAAGTCGTAAAATGAAAACTAACCAATGAAAACAATTTCAAACTATTCAAACTAACCAGATCATCATCAGGAACGCACTGCTCTTTCACTTCATGGTTCTTTTCCGGATCGCACTCCTTATCCGAGTTTCTGAAATAACAAATATTTTAGGATTCTTAGTTATGTGTTGAGTTTGATGTTAAGGGGGTGTACACCAAAACCTTTTTTGCCGGGATAAGATGAAAAATAATAAAATTTGATACATTGAACAATTTTCAATTTACGCAATTTCGAAAAAAAAATTCTTTTTGGAAACTTTTTTAAATTTGGTCTAGTCTGTCACTGAAATACCGATAATTTAGTCATATTGAATGTTTTTTGGCTGATTTTGTTACTGAAAATTACTTACAATCTGTTACGGATTGTAAGTAATGTGTAATTGGATCCAATTACACGCGATACACTATATCATCTCATGTAAGGCCTGTTCAATTAGTGCTCTGGTGATTATTAGAGCTCTGGTGACGTCACAAAATATCCTAGTTGGCATACGCCATGTTACGAATGTGATCGCGTGCTCGAGGATTTACGAACCAAGGTCACGTGATAGGATTAGCGGTGATATGATAGGACCGAATGTCAGGTGACCTCAGTTATCCCTTATATGGCACAAGTAGCTGCAATTTATCAGCTTTTAATTGGGCTGCAATCCTTGACAGGCCTATAATTACCCAATTTTAAATGAACGATATCTCATTCTACAGTATGATGGGGCGTAAAGACAATGCTTCCCGGAATCAGTAAAATGAAGGGAACACGATGCTGTTGGAATTTGATTATTCATCTTCCACCCGTAGTCCCTACAATCCGTACAAGAAGCCCTCCAAAGGATTATATAATTGAACAATAAATGACGAAGTAACAAACCGAACAAGGTCGAGAGAAGCAAAATTGATATTTTTGCCTACTATCAAAGTTGTATATTTTTCCAATCACCCAGGTCATAAGATATCGATGCAAAAATTCTTTTGAGTGTAGCTGGTGATCATATCCAACTTTTTGGTACAGGATTTCTGTCAATTTTGAGTTTTAAGGTATGAAATCGGGCCTCTAAGGTCTTAGCAAAATTCATGTAAAAAAGGGCCAAAAATGGCAGATTTAGGGCTTAAAATGCCTATAACTCAAAAAGTCTCAGTTTTTGAAATCATTTTTACCGATTACCGAATCATAATCAGCTATTATCACACCCTATTATCTGCAAAGCCAAAAAATTACAATTTCTCCCATAAATTTAAAAAGAAGCATTTTAGGGTGTTGTGTCATTCGTAACTCATATTATATAAATATGCTAGTTGCAGTTACTTTGCACTCTTCTAAAGGTTTTTAGCACATTTCTATCGAAATTTTAGAAAAATCTATAAATGTTATAAACGAAAGATATGCCTAAATTTGTTGTTTGGCTTTGAAGTGCAAAAGATTAACTTTTCAGTTGAATAAACAAATTTTTGAGGGCATCAAACACTGCGTCAGAATTCAGAGAACAATTTTATGTCAAGCATCAAAACAATCCGATGGTCCTTGACGGAATTTTTGGTCAAAACAAGCCTGAAATGTAAAATTGTCGATTGTTTTTCTTTTTTTAACGCAGCCTTTTCAGACACGATATCAAAATTTTACACACATCTTGAACTAGATATGAATAAACTTCTTGCAAAGTTTCAGCTCGATACCACAAGAAATGATGATTTTATAGCCTCTCCATGAAACAAATTGTGCTTTCCCGAACAATGAACTTTGACCAGGAAATGCTCGATTAAATAAATGGGAATCCTCAAAAACAATTTTTTAGTGTGGAAACGGTGCGCTAGATGGTTACTAAACTTCCCATGAGGTCATTTGGGTTGGACAGTTTTCGGAGAGTTTTGGTGTATTCCCCCTTAATTAAGGGGACATACACCAAAACCTTGTTTGCCGAAATTCGGGATTTGACTTCATATTATGAAAGTATAGATAAAAACAATAAGGTGTGATGCATTGAAAAAAAAAGTATTTTCTTTTTGGAAAGTTTTAAAAATTTTGAGAAGTCTGTCACTGTAATACCGATATTTCAGTCATTTTAAACGTTTTTTGGCTGATTGTTTTACTGAACATTATTGACAATCCGTACAAGAAGCACGTCAAAGAATTTTATAATATGATATAATTCTCACACAATAGATGACGAAGTTACAGACCAAACAAGGTCGAGAGAAGCATAAAAGATATTTTTGCCTACTATCAAAGTTGTATATTTCGCCAAACACCCAGGTCATAAGATATCGCTTCAAAATTTCTTGTGAGTGTAGCTGGTGATCATATCCAACTTTTTGGAGTTATACATTTTACCAATCACCCATGTCATAAGATATCGATGCACAAATTCTTTAGAGTGTAGCTGATGATCATATATCCAACTTTTTGGAACAGGATTTCTCTCAATTTTGAGTTTAAAGGTATAACATCTGGACTCAAAGGACTTAGTAAAATTCATCGTTTAAAAGGGCCAAAAGTGGCAGATTCAAGGCTTAAAATGCCTATAACTCAAAAAGTGTCAGGATTAAAAAAATAATTTTCACAGAATCGAAATCAGCTTGATAAGACGAATCTTTTAGTACCAAATAGATGATTTTAGAAGAATAATTGTCTTACATAATTTTCTTATTGGCTTAACAAGCTGATTACCATTCTGTATAATTTTTTTAAAAAATGATACTTTGTTAAATGATACTAAAAAATTGTCCAATGTATCAAATTTTATTATTTTTATCTATATTTTCATAATATGAAATCAAATCCCGAATGATCCCCGCAAAAAAGGTTTTAGTGTATACCCCCTTAACATCAAACTCAACACATAACTAAGAATCCTAAAATATTTGTTATTTCAGAAACTCAGATAAGGAGTGCGATCAGGAAAAGAACCATGACGCGAAAGAGCAGTGCGTTCCTGATGATGATCTGGTTAGTTTGAATAGTTTGAAATTGTTTTCATTGGTTAGTTATCATTTTGCGACTTGTGTTAAACTAAGTTTTCCTGCGGGTTATATCTGTGTGATTTCCTGTGTATCTACCACTACCAGTTTAGCGTGGGATTAACATCGGATACATCGATAAAGTAAACAACATTGGGAGGGGGATTTGAATGCAAATAGAATTCGTTAGTTAATCAAACTTTCGAGCCATGTTAGTTGTAGGACATAAGTCTTGTAGACATACTTTGTTAAAATACATAAAATTTTACACACATATTCAAACTGTGCTGGGAATAAACAGAAATTCAAAACAACGCTTTTTTAAAAACCTTTTTGTGATGGTGCATAGGATTCTAATTTCGAACAATTAATACAATTGTTTTTGCTCATAACAATAAACATTGCTATAACATCAATAATGATGATTAACTTCAGATACACATCAACGTATCAAGCACAATGTTTATCACCACTTAAAATTGTATCAACATGAACCCAAACACACTTCTCGGTAACGAGGAGCGCCGCAAACAGTACTACTCCGAGAAACTGGGTGCCTACTTCTTGAACAGACACAGACCGTGCTTCGATTCCATACTTAACTACTATCAAACTGGGAAGGAAGCACCACCTTTCAACGTGTTCATCCCGAGGGAGGTGGTATTATAAATTTGGAACTTAAAGTTTCGTTTCATCAAACTGATTACGGTTCTGTAAAAGTAATTCAAAAACCTGACACTTTTTGAGTTATAGGCATTTTAAGCCCTAAATCTGCCATTTTTGGCCCTTTTTTACATGTATTTTACTAAGACTTTTGAGGCCAGATTTCATACCTTAAAACTCAAACTTGAAAGAAATCCTGTTCCAAAAAGTTGAATATGATCACCAGCTACAATCTACACTCACAAGAATTTTTGCATCGATATCTTATGACCTGGATGATTGGTAAAATGTACAACTTTAATAGTAGGCAAAAATGTCAATTTTGCTTCTCTCGACCTTGTTCGGTTTGTACCTTCGTCATTTATTGTTCAATTAAATAATCCTTTGGCAGGCTTCTTGTACGGATTGTAAGTAATGTTCAGTAAAAAAGTGACAGACTTTACCAAATTTTAATATATGATATAAATAACAGAGACCTGTATTATTGCTTATTAAAGTATGCTTTAGTCATGCTAATTAATTACTTTTGCACAAGTGTACAATCTGCACATTGGTCGAAATGCACCGGTCGAAATTTCGGTCTCAAATTAAGCGTCAAACTTTTTTCCACGGTTTTGTTTTGCCCACTAGTGATTCAAATGAATCCGGAGTTTTCTATACAAAAATCCCCTTTCATTTATAATCAGACATCACTTTGGATCAATATATGGACAAACACTCCGACCAGTGGTTTCAACTGACGTGCATGACACATGCGGGGAATAAATTTGCATCGCAAAAACAATCGAAGTTTAGTTGATCAATACGAAGAAATTATTAAGATCCACGGTTTAAATTCTCCTTTTTTATCGATTCAATCACAGAGAATTTATAGATTCTATACTATAGCCATAAACAGTTTTAAAACTTTCTGAAATAGCTCAAACTCCACTCTAGTAATGAATGTGCCAATAAGAAACGCGATGTTTGCCCTTTATTTGGTCAACAAATCGAATTAGAATTAATCCCAGCAAGATTCGTTTTTAAACATTGCGAGGTATATTAACGTTTGAAAATTCATTTGCCGTTGGACCAACAAAATTTACTATTATTTCCTTGTGTGGCGATTAATCGATCAAAAGAAATAATGAAATAAGCATTTAAATAATTGAGTGATGTTTGTTTTGGTTATATAATATTAAAGATTCCATACCACCATGCTAATGCATCATGAGACAAAAATTGTTTCTTGAAATACTGTTTGGACTGAATTGAACCCATGTTTTTCAAAAATCTCTGGATCATAAAAGTATAAAAGAAAGTGAAATAATACATGTGTAATTCATGATTATTTTTTAGGAATTAAGTTAAGAAAATAAGAGACTACAAGAATTAAAATCTAAGACCCATAAGGTCTTTTCAGTACCATATTTCATGCTTGAACAATCATCAAGACAGTCCATAAATTGAAGAAAGCAGTAACCTAGTCAGTTTTCT